AGGTACATATTGTACAAAACTCACGATAACCTTACTTCGAGGGCATTTCAAATTGGGCCTTGAAGCAAATTCTATTATCCATGGATCCATTACCTAGGGATTCCTCATAACTCAGGTACTCCAGACTCCAGTACTCAAGTTCGTACCTTCCTCCATAACTCAAATACCTAGTACGTACCTTCCTCAGCACTCAAGTACCTACCTACCTCCCTCCCTCCCTCCCTCAAGCACCGAACCAACCTTCTCAACACCCCACACCAAATCTAACCCTCTCCACTTTACTGCCTTCATACCTAAAATACCTAGGTACCATCGCTATCCATGGATTCCTCCACTCATCAAGCTTGTAAGGTGACCTAAATACTCTTTGACAACGCCGGCGCAACTCCTGTCTGTTCTGTGTATCAGTGATCGCCATCAGGTCATAACATTCACTACAAAGGACACTGATTACAAGCTTTCCAATCATTCCCCTCTATTGCTACACAAATCTCCCTCATTCGCAGCTGACCGCAGGACCAACATAAAACATTCTGTGATTCCTTTCTCGTGCGAGATTCAATCTTACTGGATCATCTTGACTTGGCGTACAGCGAATATCGTATCAAAACCCCACCATTTTTGAAGATATTCGGCTTGGCTTACCTATCTGCTACATAATTTGACCCCTCACAAAGCCTTCCATCGGTTGGTCCACTAATCTACTCACTCATATTTGGTCTTCTTGTTATTTCTCGTTGTTCTCGCTGTGCTCGATTGGAACCCCTCCATTAAGTTCAACAACTATTCGAATATATCATCGCAAATATGATTTCGTTCAGCAGCTCGACGCTGCTTCTATCCTTTGCGATCCTGCTCCTATTAGCACATCCAGCTCATGCCTTTGGTGCTGGAAATATTGCATCGGTCTCAAAAATTGAAGGAATAAACTGTCAGTCCATATCTATTCCGCCTGTACAAGAACACACTTTCTAATTTGTTATTCAGGGCGCCATGGAGATATTGAAGATACCCTCCTTACACTTGTTATGTCAAGAGCTTGCGGTGGAAAGAAGTTTGATAAAATGATGGTAGCAAGAGTTTACTTTGGTAACTGGCTGAGAGATTACTGTAAGTATGATTTCATCATATCTTGAATTAAATTACCCCTCATCCACCTCTCAATCTCACTATTATCGGATACTAATCTTCTTTCCTCCTCCAGCTCAAGCAATCGATGTTGGTACCGTCAAATATGTTTCCGCTGAAGCTATTCGCATTCTTCTCTGGGTTCTGGGATTTATGACTTTCGGATATGGCACAAGAGAATTCGAAGTTACAGCTCAAAGATTGGGTTGTTATCGACCAGAAGATCACATTGATAACCCAAAAGATTATGCCGATAATCTCGATGCTTCAGAATATGATCCTAGACTTCGAGGTCCAGTCGATGAAGAAGTTGAGCTCGCTATCGATCCCCGGACTGGCATGAAGAACTATATTGCAAACGAACACGTTGGAATCATGTCATCTGCTGAACATGTCCGAAAGCTTTTCCGTGAATCTATTCGACTTGGTAGATCCTACGGAAGAAACCAGAACAAGGACGACTTATATGAGGCACTTCGATTGTTGGGTACTGGATTACACTGTCTGGAGGATTTTTCTGCTCACAGCAATTACACCGAACTTGCTCTCATCGAGATGGGAGAACGTGATGTTTTCCCACATGTTGGAAGAAGAACTCGAATCGAGCTTCCAGGCGCTGAACATGAAGTTTACCCACTCATTACTGGTACCTTTGGTGGTGTTGACTTCCTTCACTCTGTCATGGGTGAATTCGATGATAAAGCAACTCAAAGTGAAATCCAAGCCCTTGAAGGAACCATGCAAGAAGGTAGCGAAGGCAATACTAGTGTCCTGAAGGACCTATTAAGTTCAGTTCCTTCTGGACTTTTTGGTGGTAAAGATGAAGCTAGTAAAGCAGATGAGCTTCAAGCCAATGCTGCTGCTGCCCAACAATCTCAAGAGGAAGTCTCTCCAAAAGATCCAGAAGCTTTTACAATCCGAATGCAAGAAGTCGCCAAGGAAATTTATCCAATCATTCAATGGCACGACGAAACTATGCAATCAATTCGTGAAGCGATCGAAAAGATTCCTATCCTTCCAGACCTCATCGAGAACATTGAGGAACAAATCAACATTTTTGTCTTCTCTCTCCTTGCTCCATTCGTTCTTCCAATCATTGGCCAGATTAAGACCGAGTTGAACACCGGTTCCTCTGAGGTTATCCAAAGCAGTAAGGACAAGCAATTGATTGTTTTCCACGATGACCATTCTACTGATCCTACACATTCTATGTTATCTAAGGATCATTTCTCTAACGTAAGTATTATTTCTTTAGTACAATTGTATTTCTTCACTACAACCGTTATCCGCAAGGCCATGATTCCTCGGGTCGTATGATGCCTTTGGCATCAAATGATTACGGAATCATATGATAACCATTCCACAATCATCATTGATACTAACATACTTTTTAGATCCTCAACGAATGCGCTGGTAGAATCGCTTCTCAAGTTCTCAAATGGGTTGTCCCTCAACTCATTTCTTGTTGGGATGATGAACGCATTGATCCCGATCGTACAATTGATCGTATCGTCAACGGTGTTTTCCATCATCCCGCTCTTCGCAACTATGGTGACGATGGGGCATCTGATGGTCGTCAACTTATGTTCAGAGTTGTAGAGGATTGGTGGCGCAACAAGGACGGTGACGAACAAGAGGAATACCGAAGAAAGTTGAGCAGAGATGGAGTTGAAAACGGAGAAAATCATCTTGAGGGTGTTCATGATACTGGTCATGGATGTGGTGCACCACTTAAAATGTCCAAGCAAGGTCCTATGATGTCTTCATCAAATCCAATGGCAAATGAAATCATGGGTGGACTTGCTTCCTCAATGGGTGGTAATGGTGGATCATCAGGATTTGGTGGACAAGCATCTGACGGAATTGGCAAGCTTGCTGGAGAAGCGGTTGGTGGTGGTGCTTTTGGTGGTATTGTTGGTGCTCTCGCTGGAGGTGTTGGTGGAAGCCTTTTAGCTGGATTTCTAGGTGGTGGAGGGAAAGAAGAATCATACTCTTCTGAAGGTTACAACTCTCAAGGTAACTACCAACAGAGTTATACTGAAGTAGGTCGCTCTGGCGATCGCTATGCTCAAGCCGAGTATACACAAGAACAATTTCCAGATGGTGGCAGACGCACAGATTATCAACAATATGGTCAGCAAGGAGGCCACGGAGCTGGCTTTGAACAAATTACCGAGCAAAGACCTCGATATGGTGGAGGTTACGAAGAAACCAACGAACGCATCTACGAACGTTCTGATGGTAGAGTCGAGACTGAAACATGGCGCGAGGGTCAAACAGCTGATGGGCGTCATTATCATGAAGCGGAACATCATAGAGAAGAGAGATCTGGTAGTGATAGTGATGATAGTCGCAGGAGCCATAGAAAGCATCACAAGCATCACAAGCATCACAGTCGTCGTGGAAGTGATGATAGCAACGAAGATAGGGATAGACCACAAGAGTATATTCCAGAGAGAGAGGAGCGCAGAGAGAGGTTTGAGGAGCCTCGTCAGGGTTATGGTGGATATGGTCAACAAAGAGAAGAACATGGTGGTTGGGGTGGTGAACGTGAAAGATTTGAGGAACCACCAAGACACGAATATGGTGGTGGCGGTGGATATGGTGGTGGAGAATTTGGTGAGACAGTTGGAGGATTGGCGGAGAGATTTGGTGGTATGGGATTCGGTGGAGGAGACCATGGAAATGAAGGTGGTTGGGGGGAGAGGGAGAGAGAGGAGGAGAGAGAAGATGAATATCGTGAGGAGAGGAGAGAGGAACGTGGATGGGGTTTTTAGGTTTCTAGGGTTCTAGAGTTTTAGTGGCATGATGACGTGATGGGATATGAGGAATGAGAGTATGAGCGATGATGATATGATATGATGCTATTGAAATCGTTCAGTCAAGCAAACGAATGGAATATGCGAAAACGATAAATTTCATGGAGAAGGACCTAGTTAGATAGATCTTTTGAAAAGTGTTCCAGTTTCAATGCCATCACGATGCTTTTCTACTTGTAACTGTGGGGATGATGATACTTTGAATATCTAATTTTAGATGTTCAAATATGAGTGAGTGTAGAATGAGTAATGAGTAATCCATACTAGAGATGGAGGGTTATTGATTGGGTTTCTGTTGTTTTGTCTCTTATATCTTATATCTTATATCTTATATCTTATATCTTATATCTTATATCTTATATCTTATATCTTATATCTTATATCTTATATCTTATATCTTATATCTTATATCTTATATCTTATATCTTATATCTTATATCTTATATCTTATATCTTATATCTTATATCTTGTAGAAGTATAAATGTTAAAGTGGATGGATGGATGAATGGATGGATGGATGGATGGTGGGAGTTGTTGTTGTTGTTGTTGCTGCGAGTGAGTGAGTAAGTGAGTGAGTGTGGGTGTTTTTTCGCTTGGAGATTAGATATTAGATGCTAGATGTTTGGAGATTAGATGTTTGGAAAGGGGGATAGGGGGCGGGGGTAGGGTTTGGGGTTTGGGGGCGGGATTCTATAAGAGTAGGAAGGGGTGGGTAAGTGGGTGGATGGGTGAGTGGGTGAGTGGGTGAGTGGGTGAGTGGGTGAGTGGGTGGATGGGTGGTTTTTGGATATTGGAATTTGGGTTGGATGGTGGATTGGATTTGTAGTATCAGAAAATAACTTTCTATAAGCTTTTACTACGCTATTTACACTCCCTAGTAATATGTGTATATGTAACCCTTTGAACCCCGAATTTTGATCTGTGATGTTTGAGTAGATGTAGTATGTGCATGTGTATATACATGTGTGTTGTATATAGGTAACTTCCTCTTCTTCAATCTCTCATTTCATGTGTCATTTGCATTTGCATCTTCATCTGCATGCGCAACCCCTCTACTCAATGCCCTCCTCATTCTCCTCGGGATCCAAATCCTCCTGATCAAACACCGCCTTCTCCATCAACGCCACCGTATTCCGAATCGGCAATCCCACCACGTTATCCCAGCTGCCCTCTATCCGCTCCACCAACATCGCTCCCATGCCCTGGATCGCATAGCCCCCGGCCTTATCAACCCCCTCGCGCGTCTTCACATACGCCTCGATCAACTCATCCCCCATCTCCGCATCAAACACGACTTTCGTCTCCACCACCTCGTTCTCGCAATTGTACCCCGGATGCCGCGCGTCGTCGCGGGGGGCCACCACCGCAATCGCGGTAAATACCTTGTGCGATTTGTCGTCGCGCAGCCGCTGCAGCATGCGGATGTGATCGGCTTGCGACCGCGGCTTCTCGAGGATCGCGCCCGAATTGGTGACGATGACGGTGTCGGCCGCGATGATGAGGGAGGGGTCCGGGATGCTGGCGAGTGAGTTGTCCAGGCAATGGGTGTATACCGAGAGGGCTTTTTGGATGGCGGTTTGCAGCACGTAGTCGAAGGGGCCGAGGTGTTCTTTGGAGAGGTTTTCCGGGAGGGGGGAGGGGATGATTTCGAGGTTTGTGAGGCCGATCTGGGAGGGGGTTAGTTGATGATGTATTACTATCTATCTATCTTTGACTTGATATTGATAAGATGAGATAAGATTAAAAACACAACGAGTAAATCAAACTAACACGAAAACATACCGAAGCCAAAATTTGTTTCCGTCGCGGACTCGCCGAGGCGAGAATAATGCGTTTTCCCTTTAATTCCTGCAGCAGGGGGATGTCGAGCGGAAAGGGACCGCGCGGTACGGGTCCTTTGCCGGTGGAGATGGATTGCGATGCTGGACGCGTGGGCAGCGCGCCGTGTTGGGTCGAGGCGCTTTCGTAGGTTGGCGGAGGGGATTGGGGCGCCGTGGTGGAGAGGGGGGTGTATTGGGGTTTTGAGGAGGGCATGGTGTGCGAGGAGATGGGGTGAGAGGTGGGAGGTGGGAAATTGGAGGGTGAATAGATTGGGGGGTTTGGAGGTTGGTTTGCTGGGTGATTTGGTTTGGATTGATTTGATTTGATTTGATTTGATTTGATTTGATTTAGGTTGATTTGGTTTTATAGGGATGAATTGGATTGATAGAATTGCGGGTTTTGGTATATGGAGGGTTTCGTCAGCCTTGTGGATGAGATGGGATGGGATGGGATGGGACAGGGGTTTTTAGGTGGGGCATTGCGAGCAGGGTTGTGGCTTTATAAAATCATCACATCACAAAAGACATTAATATTATACAAAGCTTTTTTTTTTCTTGATAGAATTATGATGATAATAATGAACTACCTACCTAGGTATTCGTCACTTTCTGTCATATTAATATCAAAGTACGAGTTCTCATTAGTGATTTGGGAGTGTATTACATTGGATATTTGAGTAACCTTTTGTATTATGCTTGGTATTTTGATGTTGAAATAGCTTTATGTACTGACTTGACTTGACTGTATGTAGGTATGTATGTATAAGCCCAAGTCAAAGATAATCTACTGATGAGACATTTAGGACTCTTGCCGACAAGATGCTCAATCCATATTGATAGAGTATTGTATAGTTAGTGGCTATGCAATCTGTCTCAAACTCTCTTCGACAACATCGGCTATCGTACAAGCTACCCCTACTCCAGATGGATATGATGTCATCGCCTAGAAATATCGCAGCTCCCCTGCAAACTATCATGTCCGACTTAGTGTTTGTTGATGCGTCTGAACCGGATCATGGTTAATGCATCCCTGTATCAATTGTTGGAGTTTCTCAGTCTGTTCTGTAGTTTTATCTTTGCTTGGAAGCTGTAGAGCTGCGGCTTCCATCTTCTTGCTTTTGCTTTGCTCAACCTCGATCTGAGCTTGCGTAATTCTTTCTTCGCCGATTCAGTCAATTCTGTAGGTTCGCAGAGCTGCGCTTCTTGTTTATGGTTTTGGACTGTATCATCAATAGTCGACTCGTCTTCCGAACAACTGATCCAGGCGTCCGCTTCATTCTGTGCAATTGGTTCTTGTTCTTGGTGTTGCACCTTCTCTGTAGAAGAATCGACGTCATTGTGTAGCTTAGTTGTATTTTGTTGACCTGAATCTGTAATTTGTCGAAGGTCAGTCGGACATGATGTATCGTAATGTATGATGATAAATAAAGAGTTTAGGTCCAAAGGTAAATCTTGGCTATGTTTGGGATTCATGTTTGTTGATATCGACTTGGTGGTGATGTGGATTTGGGGTTTGTAAGTAGGATTTCGATTGTGTAGTCGAGTGTTCATGCTTCTTGGAAGCTTAGGGTTGCGAGAGCTTTATATGTGCGAAATTTGCTAGTGCATGATCGCGTGCCTATATTCACTTGTATTGCAACAACATCCAGCGTAAATGTTACTTCCAGTGTTATCTTCAACTTTCTGGGAAATAGCCGAGCATTGTAGCCTCTTAGATAGTGGTGGAAATTGCTCAGAATGAGGTTGTGCTAGGTAGGTAGTTCCAAAAGATTTTTGTTCAAGAAGGTTTGTGCAGCAGAATCACATAACTTCAAAGATACACATCTCAAGAAGATAATTGGATGTATCGATGGTAGCGATAGTTTCAAATGGTTGATTGAAATTTAGTCAAAGTGGGGTTGGAATAACGCATTCTATAGTGCTGGCGGTCTGGATAGTGCTTAATCTCTGTAGTTTGCTATATTGAGCTTGCACATACAACTTTTGTGTCCTCATAATGCATTCCGAATTTTTCATGGGAACTAAATTGTTGTACTTCGTAAAAAGCTGCGACCCCGATGAATTCACTCACTATTCGTAGTGTTAACTTTCGTGTACTGTTTTAAGATGAGCATGCAGGCGATCTTGGTTCCGGTATCCATGGCCTGGCCCTCGGGGACAAGCTGGGATCGAACAATGGTAAGAACCATGCCATACCTCCATATGGTCTTCCAATCTGGCCTTTCTGTTGAATTCTCTTGAAAGAGCCTGGCAATTGGGTATCAGACAAGTATACTCTTTCGGCCCAGGATCGTGTATGGCGCAGCTGTGTTGTCCGAGTTCTGCTTTTGTGCCAAATTTCGCATGGCAAATTGCGCAGACTTTGCGCTTTTCGTGAGCTCTATAATAATGATCCCACCACTCATTGTGTTCCAAAAAAAACTTGGTGTTCACAAATACACATTTGGGGTGCGGACATTTGCTGGGATAATTTTTCGGTGAAATGTCATTGATCGTTGTTGACTGCGAATGGTTTGATGGGTCTGGCTCTGGCTTTGGCCGGGCAGATGGGAACTTGCAATTATGGGTTCATTAAAATAATATGAAGGTTCATTCCCTTTTGTATTCATGGAAGCTAACGAATTGATACGCCAATTTGTATTTTCATTTGATTCTTTCGGTATTGGTATGGTCTTAATTCCGAAATCCCATATGCAAAGTTGAATGTGAAACTAGAGAAACGCTATATTCTATTGACTTGAGGTATACTCATCCAATTCTTTTTTTATATTTGTGCCTATAGCCATAAATTCCATTTAATTCATATCTATCTCAACCTCTATATAGTTAGGGAGACTAATTGTAGGAATTCTATCTATTGTCATTTCTTCAATATATTCGTTTGTTATAGCATTTATAACTGGACTATTAGCCTCCTTGGATATTTCGCTAGCTTCAAGTACTGTAGTTCCTTCAAATATTGGAACTGATCTTTGAAGATTTTGAAAAGTCTTTTCCAAGCTAGTGCTTATAAGTCTACTTTGTTTGAAGTCATCTCCAAATAAGAAATATCCTTCTTGAGCTTCAATGAGATAACTAGCTAATCCTCTATTTTGTAATCGAATAATAGCATTATTGATAGGATAATGATTCTCGATATATTTAGTCCAATCACAAACCATAGTTTGAATATCTTTATCAATGCTTAACTTTGACCAGCCGATTCCCAAATGCCTGATGTAATCATCAATAGAAGACTGACTTGGTCTATCTGGACTGGCTGCGCGCAATGCTGCTTTTGCCTTTTCTTCAGCTGCGGTCAATCCTGGCCTTGAAGTTCTTGGAGAGAGAGCCTGATGAAATGCGGTATTGTTGGTTGATTTTGGGGTGATAGATTGAGTTTCATGAGGGCTAATCATTTCGACAAGATCTACAGTAGTATCAGAGAATCGTTGTGTCATCTTTCCAGTAAGCGACTCCGGTTCCTTTTTAATTAGCTGGGACTTGAGCTGTTCTGCGTATTGATTTATGGTTTGCAGATTTTCAAAAAAGCTTATCCTCGAACTCTCAGACCCTTTGTAGGGTGTCGATTCTAGATTCAACACTTTGATGATCTCCGATGCCACGAATCTTTGTCGTGTATCTTTATCTTCCAAAAGGGACAGATGGCAAATAACTTCTTCTACAAAGGCATATTTTAGAATGCTTGAAACTCTGGGATAGAGCTCTGATACACCTCTGAGCACTTTCCAGGCATCACTGTGTTCAAGGTTTTGGGTATCATTCTAATTTCACAAGTCAGCATGCTCTAAGTAGTGTTTTGGAAATGCTAAAGTAGTGACTTGAACCTCAAAGTGCGTCGCCATTCAAACAGAAAAACATGATCAAATACGGTATACCTACAGTTGAAGATTGGATGTTTAGTCTGCGAATTATTTTTGTTATCCTTAGAGCTACACTCATTGTAATGTCCTCACGGCCTGGTCGTCCCTTCTTCAAAATAGCCTGAAAAAGAGACAGGGCGTCATCATGTTTGCCTTGGCCGAGAAGAGAATCAGCGAATGCAACAACCATGGACAATTCGCTGTTAGTACAGTGATTGGGTATGGTCGAGAGCCCAATAAGAAACTCTTGAGTTGTGGTCGGCATTTCCAGCTGATTTACTGCCTTTCTAAATATTGAATTGACTAACTCCTCGGCTAAAGCTTCCATTCGGCATCTGTTTAAACAATTTACCAGTGTTGTACCAACAAGAAAGACTTCCATAGACTGAGAACCATAAATCCTTTTGACTTCATAAAGGACAGGTTCGAGCAAATTTCGCGCATTGTCATATGATTCAAGCTTGACCTCGCTAAACGCAATCAGAACTCTGGTCGTCAAAGGTAGATCATTATAGACAACTCTTTGCAGTGTAGCTAATGATATAGCTCCATATAACTCTACCTGAGCCAATAACTCAATGGTAGAGTTTGCAGAAGATGTTTCGAAGGGGAGCCAGTCAATCTGGTGATTGTGTTTGTAACGGTGTGAGGACTCTTCGCTTGTAAGAATCGATGCTAACCCAAGGCCTATAACTCCATTCAAATAGTTTATGCCACAATGGTCAAGATTTTCAATCTGCTCACGATTGATTGCGCGAGCTAGGTGTAATGATTTGACCCCAGGCCATTCTTTGAGATACTCAAGGCAACTTGATATCAAGGGGTCAATTGTTGCTGGAGTACTATCCCCCATCAGTTTCGAAAGACGTATAAGGAATTTAGCTAAGATAGCTAGATATCTGGTCATCTTTGCCCTAAAAAACAATGAGCATTTTATCTTATAAAGTTAAACATTACGAAAAAGACTGACTACCTATCAAAATCTCGATCATTTAAATAGTCTGTGACATCTTTCATGTCAAGGATACACAAAAAAGGTACACATGTCGTCTGCACAATATCCAGCATTTGGCTTTCTACCTCCATCCACGAAATTTCCGTGTATGGTGTCGGAAACGCCTTCAATACCAGCTCCAATATGTTAAACTGTATGTTTCGTCGTGCTCTATCATCGGTATTGAAAGATAACCACTGCTTCCAACTTTCGTCTATGACATAGGTTTGACTCAACAACGTCTCGAAACACCTGATGATTCCATTATCCTTTGCCTCTTGAAATATATTCTCTAGATCTGAATCGAGTCCAATGATCGTCTCAGAGCACTCGACGATTTCGCCTTCAACGTTCCAGACCTTGGAAGGCTGGCAGATACGTTCGAAGAGTATCCGTGGTAATTCGTGGCATTTGAAGAAGGCCAGGAATTGAAACCTGCGTCGAGAGACTATTCTAGACGGTAACCCAAACTCATGTCGACGCCCCATGCTTATTATAGAAATGATTGGTGGTTGTGCCCGCCAATGAACAGAATTACCCGTTATTGAGGCAAAGTTTTACAAGGTATATAGATGGCTGGATGTACCTATAGTCAAGACTGGATTCGACAAGAGTGTTGCTTTTAGCATTGGAAATGTCTTAGAAAATAGACGAGAGAGAGAATATAGCTTCCTTCCCGACGATATATAATTTGCTTGTATTTGAGGCTGGGAAAAAAAGAGTTCATGGCTTATATAGAATAGATTTCGGTGAAACGACCAAACTGCGGGGTATGTTGCACTGAGATAGCCCTGCCCGTATACTATGGACTTGATTCGTTGAAAAGGTGAGGCGATAGGCAGCCATCCAAGTTGAGCTGATATCACACTTCAAAAAACCTTTTCCTTTCATCATTAATAAACACAAATGATACAAGATTAATCAAAAATGTTTAGGACGACGTCGAAAACCGTACGGGTCAAGGGAATACCTCTAAATTTAAATCAGGAAGATTTTCTAGAGAAAGCAGAGTATTTTTCACGCGACCTGCGCCGGCCATGGCCCCAATCTGTCAAACTTGGTAGTTCTAAAGTCAGTAAATACACTTGATATTTTTGGTTTGAAGAACTCCGGTTTTCTGAAATTATATTACGAATTTTTGGATGGGGTTTAGCATCATGTTTTGCTTTTGGTTATTGTGCCTCAATGAAAGATGTACAGTTTCAAGACGATATGAGCTTTCGGGTTTTGAACTGCAGCCTGGGATCCTGCACGGCAGAACAAAAGTTGCTGATCAACTTTTCGATTACAGATATCTCTTGCGATTGAACGAGAGGATCAAGTGGGGACAATCACCTTGCCCTCGCCGAAGCATAAAGAGGAAGCTTTAAAGTACCACAACACAGAATGGGAATTCGATGACAATTTCAACGGCATTACAACTCTGTATTCATCGGACGACCCAGAGGTGGAGTCAGTAATACCATTTTTCTTAGGCTTCGCAAAATTCTGAACTAACTCTACTTGACCTGCTGGATCTTTTGGCGATAATGGGCTACGTTCAAAGACTTAACGCACTTTGAGATTCTAACTTCTTTGAAAATGCCACTGATTCAATGGTTACTATAGTGTATGCGCTGTTCATGGTTTGAACGGAAATGCATTTGAGAGTTGGGTAGCCACCAAAAATCAAAAGATGTGGCTACGCGACTTACTGCCACTGTCGAAACCTTTTGACAAAGCTCGCATAATGACATTTGGGTACAGCTCTCGTTTGCGCGATAGAGGTAATCTTTCTGGAATCACTGTCTGGTCGCAAGATCTACTTCGAAGCGTCAGCAGCCTTAGAAAAACCAAGAAAGTGAGTCCTCTTTCTATTTCCAAACTCTTTGGCGACATTTCTTTGTGTCTGATGCTCTGTAGGAACGAGAGCATCCTATTTTGTTTGTGTGTCATTCTATGGGAGGTCTTGTTGCTCGCCAGGTGAGTGCCGCCTTATCTGCCGCCACAACTGCAGCTGCTAAGCACCAGCCTCCTAGGCAATGGTAGAGTTAGACAAATACGGAAGCCAATCGGAATATAATGGAATTAGTCCTGCAAAATGTGCCCTACTGTTCTTGAGCACCCCTCATTCTGGCTCACTCGAAGCTGACTGGAGTGACTTCTTGACTGACATCGCTCAACTAACTATGGGTGTACGAAAAGAAATCGTGAAGACACTGGGGAGTTTCAACCCCATGTCAACTGAGAGTCAGAGAGAATTCATGAACATGAACATCATACCCCCATTTGACGCGTTTTTCGAGACTCGGGTGACTTCTGTTGCCAGGATTATTCACCGACAGGTACGTGCGTCAAAGTTCGCTCATACGAATCTAGTACTGATTTTAGCAAAGGTTGTTACACAGCAGTCTGCCAGCTTGTCAAACTGTACAGCGAAGGGAATGCCAGATGTTGATCACAACACAATATGCAAATTTGAGTCAAAATTTGGAGGATTTGAACAAGTGGCGGATAAGCTGAGGCACCTAAAAGACATTTTGGATAGAAAGTCTGATGTCCTTGCAATTAAAATCGATGTATAAAGCCCTAAGCTCTTGAATTGATATTTACATTACTTTCAAAGCTGACAATATTGATCAAGAAACCGTGGGATTCCCCACCCGTTGCATCTAACTCATTCCTACCCGCCGGTAAAAAGTTTTTCGAAGGTAAGGGCTTGAGGCAAACCCCAAAAACGCAAGGCCGGCAAGTAGATATGAATAATCTTGCCGATTCTATTGAGACACTAGACAGGAATGATTACTCATCTCTTGTAATGGCAGGCATAGGGGGTATCGGGTAAGCTTTAGCCTTTATTTAGAACCAACAGTCAAACTGAAAATTAATTTAGGAAGACGACAGCTGTACTAGCAACCGCTCGCAAAAATAAAGACCAGCGTAATATATTTTTCGTGCAAGCCACCGATGGAGAGTCATTGAGAAAGGCATATCTTGATCTTGCAATGCAAATAGGCCACGAATATTTGCTTAAAGACTACCAAGGCCGAGATCTTTATAACATTTGGAGGAACAACACTTCCGATGAAAAGATTGAAAGATTCAAGAAATGGTTGGGTGGCGAAGAGAATGAAAGCGCCCTGCTCATCCTTGACGATATTGACGGGATGAAAGACTTCGGTCGAAATCCTTTCGCTGACATCCCTGAACAAGCAAGAAACATCTTGTTAACAACAAGGAATCCCAATATCCGTCTACGAGACGACTGCAAGACTATCAAGTTAAATAACATGGAGATTGATGATATTGTAACTATCTTGGAAGAGGTCCGATCGTCGGAAGATGAAGACACAGAAGACTTTCTCGACCTAAATAATCATGATGTCTTACTCTCTATTGCTAATGCGGTTCATGGGCATCCACTTGCTGCCTGTATAGCCATGAAGTATATCATCCAGGTTCAGTCTCTTGACGATTACAGGTCCGCTGGCCAGGATTTTGTTTCCATGCTTTCCGGTTCAGACCATAAGGCACGAATGACATTTCTACAATACAAACCACAAATGCCCTCTATTATGGAAACATTCATCGTATCCAAGGAGCGCCTATCTCATCCTCAGGGCCCGGCTTGGTCATTGCTGGAAGTTCTCAGTCTTCTTGAAACAGACGAATCCATTGTTGATTTCAAAAAATTCTTCGCATTCTCGAACATTGAGAATACAGAAGAATTTCCAGACTTCGATATACTTGGTCTGCGAAAGGAGGGTATAATACCTTTATTGCATCAGATTGAAGAAGTTTCTTTTATGGAAAGAACCAGACGTTCGAAGCCTCTTCGTATCCATCCTCTCTGGGCCGAATGCGTTCGCCAATTGATGGGAATAACCCGTATGTTAAGTTTGATGAGACAAATTTTGACAATCTGTTATTACTCAACAACTACGGTTTCTGGAAAAAGCATGAGCTGTCACTACTATCCCCACGTCAAACATTGTATGAGGATTTGCGGGAGTTTTGGCATCAGTATATTGAGCTTGAAAATGCAGGAGGAGATTAACATGCTAGTTCATAGCTTGACGACTTGACGTTGAATGTAGATATGTGGACAATCTAACTCCCATTTTTATCTTCCTCGTCTGAAGTTTACTTTGATTTTAAGAAATCAGGAAAGAGGGGAAAGAGGGGAAAGAGGGGTCAGAAATCACATTCGCTTGAATGAATTCATTTTGTCTTGTTATGATCAGGAAATTCCAGTCCGAGAACTGCCATACCAATGTGATGGATAGCGTTGCCATGATATCATTCTCACGATTCTCATCCTGCGGCGATGACAGTGAAAATAAACGAGTCCAATGATAGGAAGAGACAGGGTAATCTTGCTGCATGCTGTGGGACAAAATAACATCGGCGTCAATAAACTGTTCGACGTGAAAACTAGCGTACTTAGAATACTCACCCATAGATCTTCTTGTAAGAATTAGCTGCTTTTCTCTTGATGAGACTTCATCAGGATGATTTGAGTGGTATTGTGCAGATTTACATGCGACGAGATGAGAACTGGGGAATTGTTGCGAGCAGATTAACGCTAAGAGATCTGCACTAATCCAAAAATAGCAAAGCTCGCATATTTACATTAACCTCTCAATTTCCCATGTGACAGCTACAATTTCATACGACACCCCTCATCACCCCAACGAGCAATCTACGATGCCTTCAGACTCTCTTTTAATAACACCTACATAATTGCGATCAACACATAAGCTGTAGCAGAAGCACTTCACTCGCTACAAAATGTCCGCATCTCCTACGGGCGAATCCTCAGCTAATACCAACTCCGCGAATGGTATCAATCCAGCCGATGAAAAACCGCGGTTATCGGAACATGAGAAGAAGGCTAATCATATTGCTTCTGGTAGGTAATTCTATAGTCCTTTCTTCTTGGTCGCCTATAGCTAGATTTGCCAATCTCAAGTACCAGAGCTAATGAACATTTCTTGTTCATAGAACAGAAACGCCGTCTAGCAATCCGCGAAGGCTTTGATCGACTGGCAGAATTGGTTCCTGGATTGGAAGGACAAGGAAGAAGCGAAAGCGTAGTCTTGAAAAAAACTGTGGATTATATACGGATACAGTTAGAAGAAAGGCGCATGTTGGTTGAAGAGGCTGAGGGTTTGGGGGTCGTCGTTGAAGAATTGAAGAGGGAAGCACCTGAAGCGGGAACTGCAGGATTAGCCAGTCGTGGGGCAGCATGGGGAGATGGAAGTGGTTAATATATGAGAAATGAGTGTGGGTATGGGCATTGGTACGGGACATTTCAGATTGGTGTTGGCGCATGGGGAAATACTTATGGCTTACATGATCGGCGTTCTATTGTTGAGGATTGGCGGCAGAATACCTTCTGGGAGAATATCCGTAGGTGATGGGTGACGACGAAACATGTCAACCTTCGAGACATCACGACATATGAATTATCCGGTGGTAATCAGTACACGGTATTAAACTGGTTGATGGGCGGTGGGATCGAGTGGAATAGATGGTTAAATCCTCAATAGATCTATTGCTGTCGTCGTGCTTCGGGCGATAACACAATGTTTTTATATACAAATGGCGGTTTAGATTTTATGGTGCTAAGGTTGGCCTCCGCAACCTGCCCCTCGAATCTTTCTTATACTGAGAGATACTACTAGGTGCATAGTATTTATCGAACGAAATTTACCATGCCACTATTTGAACATCTAATTTTCAGGAAAAAATCGCATCTAAACTTACTATCCAATTGGTATCGTGACATAGCTGACTGCAAATAAAAGTATCGTAGCGCAGGCATCGCGCTCATATAGGTAAATCTATGTCAAAAAGCAATTTCAACACACCAGCAATACAAGTCATGGTTCATTCAAGACATATGGATCGAATCTCGAGAAATTGTCGTTGTAATCTACTAACCAAATCTCTCTCACTAATAGCTACGGGATATATAATTAAACTTCAACCACTTCACTACTCCTTGACAACTACACAAGATTCTCGGCCTACAATCAGTATATGCAAGTCCACCATACATCATCCTGATAGAAACGCAGAGATATGAAAATCATTCCTGGACTAGCATTCAGCCTGGTGGGTTTCGATGGTCTCGACTTTGAGACTTTTGGATCATGACTTGAGACTGGTGAAAACATATAACAATATGTAAGGGCAATATCCCGTGGAAAGTTTGGAGGAAAGGGATTATCTTCTACGAAGTGATGTGCGTGCATTGAAAAAGCACAATATTGAATATAGAGAGCATATTCATGATATGCAGACCAAAATAAAGTTGAAGACTTCATATATAACTCAAAAGAATCTTTACAGCGCAGTCCCAAACAACATATGCAATCCCAATCGTAAGCCCAACCCCAGCCCCAAAGCAAAAACTCTCTTTAAGGCCATCCCTCAACCTCACCTCCTTCTCCTCCAAACACCCCCACGCTGTGGTAGAGTTCACTTATTCCGAGAATGTTTCTCCACCTATCTATTCGCAACCGAATAGTCAACGATCGGACAGTGTCATAAGATCTACATCCAGTCATATAGATAGATGTAGATGTTGGTTCATTGGGGTTGAAGAGTGTCTCGTTCTTAAAATTTGCTATTTTGATATCTTAACTTTCTTTCCAGGATGGTGTACTTGTCGTTTAGGTGTGGAAGATATGGCAGCAAGGAGATGAGGTAGGATTCTAGTATGGATAAAATGAGGTGAATGAGGAGTGGGGATTGATGTTAGCGAGTAAGTCTTTTTGAATTTGTTAGTGTGGGCTGGCAAGCGCGCAATATGATTTGATAAATCTAATAATAAGTAGTAAGACATGAAGATAGAGGTTTGAGGTTTAGAGCTCGAGGGGAAGAAACAGACGATCTGAAGAGTCAATCTATCACAGCAAGTGCTAGCAACAAGCTAGCAATGAGGGACATAAGCCAAACCAAAGACTTCCAACATTATCTCAAGAATTAAAATCAAATTTTTCGTTTACAGTCATATGGCTAATGGGTACAATCCTAATTACAACCCCATCCAAACACCCACACCGTTTTTTAATGTCCCACACCACCCGCCACCCAATCATTAAAATTCGCATCACCTGGTTGTGGAAAAAGTCCTCCGTTTTGGACCTCTCCATTCGCTGGTTGTTGTTGCGCATTCGCAGGTGCTTCACCTCTTCGATGCGCCTCCTGTCTCTGTTGTCTATATACTATCAAGAACACTAGTGCAGCTGCTAAGCCAATAATAATAAGACTTTCCACCAAACCATCATCAAGGATGTCATCATAAAGTCCATCTGCATCACCACCTGGCATAGGGTCATGAACGGAACCATAAGTTTCTTCTGCGTCGTAATCGGCGTAGTATGGATGATCATCTTGCAGGAAATTGCTAACCCATTCCGCTAGAGACCATTGCTTTTTAGGAGCTACTGATATGTTAGAAAGTCTGCTCCCTTCATTTAGATTTTGAATAACTTACTTGGTTCGTCAATGATCGAATTTATTTTGCCATGCGTGAATGAATTCCATGCACTTCTGATGTGTAGTTTTAACAAACTCAGGGTTACAGGTAGATATGCCTCTTCATTTGTCTCCAAAGCGTGATCATAATATCTCTTTGCGAGATGGAAATCTTGATCAAGACCAACACCATTCTCATGCATCCAGCCTAAATTGTATAACGCTTGTGCACTTTGAGGAAATTCAGATGCGGATGTATAACAAGCTGCAGCCTTCTCCAAATCTACCGGTGTGCCGATACCATTGAGATAATAATCACCCATTTTTACTAAAGCGTCTGTATTTGCTTGCTTAGAAGCTCTAGTCCAATAAAGCAGTGCAAGTGCAGTATTCTGTAATAATTTAGGTCGAGTAGTGGATACAAGAGTTAGCCAGGACGGTATGGTCAGTTTCGACTTTTGTTCATCAAGGATATATGCAACATTGGATTGCCCTTTTTCGTATCCTTGTTCAGCTGCATGCATATAACCAATCAAAGCCAATTCGAGATCGCCTTGATCATATGCATTGTTTGCTTCGGCGAAGGACGTCAGAAGTGGTTCTGCTTTCTCTGCAACATTCTTGTAGTATGCAGTCGCCAAACTACAACTTCGGTCCCGGCCAACTCCCTGATCAATAAGTTCGGCGAGGTAGTAATAAGCTTCAATATTACCATATCGTGCAGCGAGTTCGAAATATCGATTGGCAACCTTGATATCATTATCAGTACCTTGGTCTAGATACATAGCTCCTAGGTTGACTTGAGCAGGCGCGTAGTCTTGATCGGCAGAAGCTTTGAAGTATTGCTGTGCTAATTCGGAATTTTTGGGTACTCCTAGGCCATGAAGATACATCAAACCCATTCCATATTGAGAACCAGCATCTCCATTTTTAATGCCGCGTTCGAACCAAGTCTGGGCTTTTTCGTAGCTCTGATCGACACTCTCCCCCCTAAGATACATTCGTCCTAAATAGCCTGCGGATTTGGCAGCAATTTTGTCCAGTTGCGGTTTATCATTTTCGATGATCTTTCCATTTCTCGTCCAATATAATTTTGCAACCTTAGTGAAATACCATTTCGCACTCTTCAAATTTCGTGGAAGTCCCTTTTGACCATCGTAATGAATGCGTCCTAGGCTGAAAGTGGCCTTAAAGTCACCTTTCCTAGACATCAAATCGAGATACTCTAGAACATCATCCAGTGCGGCGTGAGCATCTGAACTTGGTCCTCCGCCCTTCGCATTGTGTCCGGCACTACTAAAACTTGCTCCTTCACCATAGACTCCTCCATCGTCATCTGCAAGTTGATAAGAATCCTGAACATATGCCATACCTCCTGGTGGTCCGGATCGATGCCATTCGATTGCTTTATCCGCTACTTTTTTGTAATATTTAATTCCCGAATCGCAATTCCTTGACATGCCGATGCCACTATGATGTCGATAAGCAAGAGTCATCGCAGATCTCAAACTTCCTCCTTCAGCGGCGAATGTATGGTATAGTAAAGATTTTGCTTGGTCTTGCGCAACAGCTCCTCCAATCCCCGTTGCATACATGAATCCAATCATGTGTTGTGCCGAACTGTTTCCATCCAATGATGCCAATTGATGATATCTTCTGAATGCCTCGCTATAGTCTTTGGGATACGAGTAATTTCCATAGAAGTTTATTTGTGCCAGGAGATAGATAGCATCGGAGTTATTAACATGAGCTGCTTGTTCCAAGAGTTGCACTGCTTCTGCGACTGGGCCTGGAGCTTGATTATGCACCGGGCTCCTTCCATCCGGTGGTGGTCCCTGAGTCAATTTGGGAAGACTTGCAACGACATATTGCGTCAAAGTTTTGACAATTCCGGAAGGATTGGAGGTGGAACGTGGATGTGATCGTTCGTAACGTTGAAGGGAATGTAAAGCTTTGTCAACTAACTCATTTTCTTATACTATATTAGCAAACATCTAATTCGAGTCTTATGAACTCGGTCCTCACCAGCTGTATTCCTTATTGGTGGTGCTCGATGTGATTCTTGGGCTGCAGACGGTTGAGCTTGAATAGACGGCTTTGGACTCCCTTCTGCCGTGAGAGACGTCGCTGGCTCTTCCCCCTGAGCCTGCGCATAACATATTGGAAAAATGAAGTGCCATAAAACTATAACGGCACAAAGTCAGTATTTCTCAAGCTCTCTGTGAATTGTTCGAAACCTTACGAATGAACAATGGCAGTATAAATCGCTGTCTCGGACCCTTCATCTTGTCAGAACCTCTGCGTGAAAACGTTTACTTCGGTTTTGAAGTAGTAAAATAAAATCTGGTCATGATATCATGATGATGACCAATATTCAGGATGAAGATGCTAATTATATAGATTGGCGGGGCTTTGTAATGTTGGGTTGCTATCTCAAAGCTGTCATCTTCGGCAATCCGCGCCAGGAAGCTCCGACCAAAGAAGCTCGGAAACTACGATCAAAGATTACGTCAAAATTCAACAAAGTCGAAATGTTATGCCGGACAAACATATCACATATTATTCATTTATAACAAAATTACGATCTATATAAAGATGGGGTTTTACATTTTTTTTAAACTTATGAATGCCGATGCCTTGCAGTTGCTATATTTCCGGATATCAGTTCTCACCCCTCCATGACTTGATTTGTCCATCTTCACCAGCAGTCAATACCGCTCTATGCTACAAATCGGAAATTGTCAGCTTGTATACATATTACACGATCTAAAGACTATGAGAGGAGCACATACCGAATCAAGGAAGCAAAACGATCTGACAATCTCTGATCCATGAGCACCATCAAGTGTAACCTTCGTCTCAGGAGCAAATACCCAAGGCTTTCCCTTTTTCAATTGTATCAAGTCGAAATCGTTCTTGCTATGACGTCCAGTCCCTAATACAGCTCCTCCATCTGGTCTGCATAGAACGTTTGCTACATACTCGCCTCCAAGGTTTTCTCTCATATCACCATATACCACTGGAGCCGGCTCTTCAACCCCTTCTTCTGGGTTTGTTACTAGCTCGTACATGGAGAATTTCTCATCATGTGAAAGAGCAAAGATATCGGTCTCGCTCAGGAAGTTGGCGTGATGTATTGAATGACCATGGTTGATTGTCTGATGGAGAGCTTCTTCCTCCTCTAAGATGGTGATATTATATATATTGACGAGACCATCCGTAGAACCAGACAATAGAAGTGATTGTTGAGTTGGATGGAATTGTAGCTGGAGGAAAATTTAGCAAATATGCCCACAATTCGGTGTGAATGTAACAAACTTCTGTAACATCGTCACTGTGACTTTCCACGTACTGTACGATTGGTGCAGCTAAAGATCTTGCGTCCCTACTTCTGTCAGTCTCATGAACATTCTGTGTAGTGAAAGCAGGAAACGCCTACCAGATTGATACAGTTGCTTGGTGATTTGTTAATTCTGTTCCAGCAGCGATGCCGTTTGTATTTGAGCATGCTAAAGATAGAATTGGAGCGCCTTGGTCTATTTGATCGTCAGAATATTTTCCATGAATATTTGCCCTCCTGCGAACAGTAAAGCCACCCAAAATACGTATAGTGTAGACAACTATTCGCAACATTCACGATCCCCATCAGGTACCAAGTCAAATTCTACCTTCTCACTCGAGAAGATCATCCCTTCCACCCAGCCACGTAAAGAAAAACCTTAAGAGAAATGATCTCACCACTCTGAACCTCTCCGACCTTTCCAGCAGTCCTTGGGTCAATCAGACACACTTTTCCATCCCTTCCAGCCGTGACTACAATAGAACTATCGCCATTTCCGATAGTCTTCAGACATGTAACATCAGAATTGACTTTCTTAATAGTATTCAGTGGTTGTCCGTTCAAAGCCGTTGGATCTAGCAATCGCAAACAACCATCTGATGAAATGGATGCGAGTCCAGCTGCGACTGGCACAATATCATAGATATATATCGGCTCTGCACCCTTGACTTCGAAAATATCTGAGGCGAAGAATCTGTACATTTTGGAGGACTTATGAATGTAATGTTTTGGTTGTACTTTGAAGAGAAAAGTTTTTAGGGAAAAGATTTTTCAGTCCTCGCCGGCGAAGAGAACTCAATTTGGATAATCAGGAATTTTCCCTCCCAACTAGCAGTCTTTCTAATCTACAATTTTAAAATGCCATTCGATGTTTTCACAGCCAAGGGAAGAATTTTGATTTTGATTTATTGTTATCACGTGATCTATCGAATTTTGTTAATTTCATCAAATGCCTTAACTAGTATGATCCTGTCTCTATGTATATTGCTGCCTCGTTCCACTTCTCGGATTCCAAAATTCGAGGTCATCGTAGATATGCTACAGTGGCGCATCATAGCCTTATTTTCTAGTTGGTCGAATTAAAAGTATCGACCGTTGTCAGTTATTATATCTCCTTCCGTAAATTTGCCCATTGACTTTACTCGCAAGCTCTGCTTGTTGATAACTTCTCAGCTGTACTTATCATGCTTGTTCTTTACCTTGATCAAAAGTAATGCCTCATGGTAATCGCCTTCTTTCCTTGCTCTCTTGAGTTTCCGTACCTCATCATCATCCAGTCTTCGGCCAACGGCATCTTCTAATTCCTTCCTGCTTATTTTCTGACTGGCTCTTTCTTCCTTGGAAGCCTTCAATTTTGGTTTGAATCTTGCTTGCATTCTAATTCGTAAAGTAGTATTGAAATTGATTGAATCAGCATCTCCTCGGATCTCTGGCAAAGCATTCTCCTTTGCGGATGCAAGTGGCTTTATCGTCAAGAACGTATCTCGCAGTGTTTGTATCTGAAATGCACCTGCAGTATCGGCTGTTGGGATCGATAAAAAGGATTCCAAGGGCGATACAGCTTCGGTATTGGCTGATAGAATTCCGAATTTATCGCAACTCAAATACCTGAAGATTGATCAGCATTGCAATGTTAGGGCAGGGGAATTGCTATACACACTTTCCGTGATGGCCTTTGAAACTATAAGTCTCCGTACCTGCTACTTTGTTGGCAACCCATACTTGTCTTACATCGTGAGGTTCGGCAGTGGTGGGATTGTTCTCGATCATATTCTCCAGCGCACTTGCAAATACCTTTCCATTTGTATCGCAGGCTATACATGATGGTGGATCTGAAGGTAAAACAAACACCACCGGCCCAACTACATCAGCTGCAGCTTCTGCCGTCACCCAAGTATCATCATCTGGCGCGGCGTCTTCTTCCTGGGGTTTTGCAATTGCTTGGGAGGTTGACGCTTCTGAATCTCCAAACTTCTCAGCAGTATCAACGCGCTTTCTTTTCTTCGTTTTCTTATCACCTTTGAAGGACAATGGTTTGACCATAGTTCTTGTGCTGAGATCTAGTATTCACTTACAAATGAAGAGCTGCTTACCCGTGTGTTTGTAAACAAGCAAATGACGGAGGTTCGCGATAATCGGGCGCTGCCGAATTCGGCTAATTGTCGGCACGATATCACAACAGTTCCCCTCCTGCCTATTCTAACTGTACGGCATCACCTGGGATAATAAAACTCCAAGCACATCCATCCACTTTCAAATTTTCTTCCAAACTTTGGATATCTCAAAGCTACGTTCGTGATTTTCGTAATAAATATGGCGCCTTCCCCAGTGACAGTAAGTCTAGAAGATTTACAAAGTGGTATGTCTCAACGTGATGTAAATTTGTCCTGCTTTCAGCTGATTCGATGTTACAGGCAATGTGTCTTTCTCAATACTCGAAGAGGCCTTTGGCCCCGAGTCTTTAGGTATCATACTTGTCAAAGATGTTCCAGAGTCATTTGTAGAGTTAAGACATAGTCTACTCTCATATTCATCTTATCTTGGAAACTTGCCCGAAGCCAGGCTAGGTCAGTATCATAATTATATTTTGTGGCAATTGAAAAGGTCTGATATCTAGCAGAGAAAATCGAAAACGCGGCTTCAAAATATCTTACTGGCTGGTCTCGTGGTAAAGAAACTCTAAAAAATGGCCAAGTGGACACACTCAAAGGATCATACTATGCGAATTGTGCCTTTTACGTCGACCCATCTTTAGCATGTGCGATTCCTACTCCTGACTTTTCACCTGAAAGTTTTCCCGAATATCTCAGTCCAAATTTGTGGCCTGGAGAAAACGTATTGCCTGGTTTCAAGAACACCTTTGAGAAATTGTGTCGAATTATTATTGACACCGGAGTACTGGTCGCTCGGGCTTGTGACAGATATGCAGAGAAGGAAATTCCAGACTACAAACCTGGGTACCTTGAGCACGTTGTAAAAACTTCAACAACAACTAAAGCACGATTGCTGCATTATTTCCCAGTAGAAGCCAAGGACTCTTCTGATGCTCTAGACGATGATTGGTGCGCAACACATCTGGACCATGGCTGTTTAACTGGACTCACATCGGCTATGTTCATCAACGAGACTCGAAATCCACCCGTGATTCCAATATCCTATTCAGGTCTTCCAACTACCCTTAGCCCTCTTAGAGAGCTTCCTGCGTCTCCGGATCCAACTGCAGGACTTTACATTCAATCTCGAAGTGGCGAGACTGTTCAAGTTAAAATTCCCAAAGACTGTATCGCTTTCCAAACGGGAGAGGCCCTCGAAAGAATTACTAAAGGTAAATTCAAGGCAGTTCCTCACTACGTGAGAGGTGTGCGACCAGGAATTGCAGATGGTGAAAACGAAGGAGGAAGAATTGCAAGAAATACGATTGCCGTCTTTACTCAACCAAATTTGGACGAGATAGTAGACTCAGAGATGGGCATTACTTTTGGGGAGTTCGCGAGAGGAGTGGTTGAGAAAAATACAACGAAGTGAGGTTATTTGAACAGATTATTCACAAGTTCATACGGAATACCCAATACAGTTTTGTTTTCATCTAAAAATATTATCATTATGCTCAATGTTTTAGCGAGGGGGTATTGGGGGAAATATCGAAGTGGCGAAGCGCATAACTTTCCAGTATCTCAGCCCAAAGGGCCCCCCATTTGCCCCCCATTTAATTGTATCGGATTGAAATTCTTCCACCCGAGTGAAAACAACAACTATATTCAAGGATGGGCAGCGGGTACATGAGCATCGGGAAGACATTCCAAGACTGGGATCTTTATCACTCTGGTGGCAATAACCCCTAAACTATTACTCGTATCTCAAGGTGCGTCCCGGAAGCTGATTGGGTTTTAATGTATTTCTTTAACTTTCGAACAATCTAGAACTAAACTTTTCTGGTGCCTAGTTCCTGGAGTCGTCGTTTCTGCTAAAGTTCGTCTGGTGCTTAATGGTAGTGACCTGTCGCACCATCAAGAGGCTCCACCACATCCACCATTAGCAGTATTTTTTCTTATATTTCAAGGCCTTAAATTGACCCCATTTCTTTCTTTAACAGGAGCTCGATCTTTCAAATAGAAATCGATAAAAAGGAAGGGTTGCCGGAAAGGTTACATCGTGTTCATCAACCTTGTTACCTGCCGGTTGTCTTTGTGTGAAGCCCCTTTCAACCGACCAAAATAGTGCACAGCCACCATGCAAGCCACCTTATATTTTAGTGAAAATGCAAACCCCAAAATTTGAGCTTCGACGGCAACATCATTCCTTAGGTAGCTTTGACCCTCGGCTTCCAAAAGTTTTGTCAAGAACGTGCCTCGAGCGTGCGTATTTTGTGCATTAGATAGACTTTTTCCTTTTGACTTTCTCATCACCTGTGAGGGTGTCACTTTCATACCTACTTAACCTCTTTTGGATCACTAGTGTAGTCAGTGTTCATAGAGATTGAGACGTTTTGTTTTTCTAATGTTATTTCTTAAAATTGTAAATCGAGTTGGATTAGACAAAAATGTGAACATCGAGGAAAATGAAAAGTGGAATGTCGTCCTGTACGTGGTGAGACGGTTCCAGAGCAAGGCGAAGGTCTCTATTGTTATGCATGCACTTATGCGGCATGTGGCAGCCAACGTAAGTCACCGCTGGCAATTATGTAAGATCATATACCTTTGAGTTGGCATGGCAGTGATGATCAGACTTTCTGATTTGCTTGTACCGAGGAGTAAGTGGCTGCAGTACAGTTGTCACTGGTCAGTCTCTCTACCGGTATTACGATAATGAATCATGATATCACTTAAAAAGTCCTTTGGTGTCGTGCTCCCCCCTGACTCTTTTCTCGAAACTTCAGCTGCATGGCCCTTGGCAATGGGTCCCCACCAACTTTGACCAACATAAATGACTATCCTTGTCAGCAATGAATGTTCTGGTGTACATTATTACTGGTCCGTTGCTCCGATCCCCTGGCCATTTACCACTCGCTCGGCCCCATACACTCTACGCGAAATGCAGATCCCCCAGCTCCACAACATAATCTTCCTTGTTCGGAGACTTTGAACCAGGGTCAGGCTCACATATACTGTACAACTTTCAAAAACCTCATGCAAGATGATGGATCTTGGCCACCACAAACCACATAGTACACCGGGGTAACCTATTTATCCAGCATCATTGTTTCGAATGGCCGAGCTATTATCCTCGCCAACATGACAAACGGCTCAGGGACTCGGAGTCTATATGATCGACCATATGGTCACGACTCTCTCATTTACCTTGATTCAATGAAAAAGGGTAGGATTTTCACTTCTTGTTTTCTTTTTGAACTGCAAGCTTGTCATGAGCTTCGGTAGCTTTTAAACACTACCCCCAATACAGCAATTAAGTGTTAATCTGCGGGGAGAGTGGACAGGAGCGGCAGTCGAAAAGTTCATCTGATTCATCTCAATATCATTTCTTGTTCTTCACATACTATTGAAGAGTCTATTGAAGAGTCATTTCCTTGCCTCATTCCCTGACTTATATATCTTCGTCTTTCCTTCGCGGTTTCAGGAATATCCACTTCACGTTCCTTTGATGAATATCAAATAAACATTCTGCTTTATACATATACATAATGTACTTTACAAATACTGTTGGTACCCTACTCGCGGCTACCTTGGTAGCTTCGAAACAATGTAAGTCTTCATCCTTCAGCTTCTATCATCTCTCACTCATATTGTTGCAGTTACCAAAGAGGAGTTGACTTTGCATATGGGTCAACACCCGTTAGAGGAGTTAACATAGGTGGCTGGCTTGTACTTGAACCATGGATTACACGTGAGTAACAGCTTGTTGAAGTTGATTTGTGGTAAATGATATTGATATTTTAAACAGCGTCGATCTTTCAAGCAGTCGATCAATCCTTAGGAATAGTCGATGAGTAAGTTTGTCTCTTTCTTCTATCAATTACTTTGATATTCAAGTGTCACTTTATTTCATGACTTGATAGACACCTTCTAACAAGTAACTCAGGTACACATTAACAGAGCAACTCGGCACAGAAGCAGCTCTAGCGATCCTCAAACCTCATGTAAGTTTCACTGCTCACGATTTCAGATCACACCTCTTACATTAATCTAGTGGGATTCATGGTGCACTGCCGACGATTTCCAAAAAATAGCCAACGCTGGCTTCAACACAGTCCGCATCCCAATAGGATATTGGGCATACGAACTCTCTGACAATGAGCCTTATACTCAAGGTGCAGCCCCATACATGGATGCTGCCATCGACTGGGCCCGTGGTGCCGGTCTTAAAGTTTGGATCGACCTGCACGGAGCTCCTCTTTCCCAAAATGGATTCGATAACTCTGGACACAAAACTTCGTCGCCGGCGTTCGGACAGGGTGATTCGGTTGCAAAAACACTTTCTGTTCTAAACACTATTACCGAAAAATATGCTCAGAAAGAGTACCAAGATGTCGTCGTGGGTATCGAATTACTTAACGAACCAGCAAATTGGAAAGTCAATTTCGATGTATTGAAACAATTCTATAGAGATGGATATGGACAAGTCCGCGCTGTTTCCGATAGTATTGTGGTAATCCACGATGCGTTCTTGGCACCAAGTAACTGGAACAACATCCTGTCTTCAAATGACAACAGTGCTTATGGAGGTATGTCTAATTCCCCCCTTTCAATCCCACACTCCCATGTACAGAATACTAACACCCCCAGTCGTCGTCGACCACCACGAATACCAAGTCTTCAGCGACTCCCTCGTCGCCATGTCCGCCACCGAACACATCGACTACGTCTGCAGCAACGCGGGCGCCTACACCGGCGCCGACAAATGGGTCGTCGTCGGCGAATTCACCGCCGCCATGACCGATTGCGCCTATGCGCTCAACGGCTACGGCGTCGGCGCCCGCTACGATGGCACATACCCCGGTTCCTCATACGTCGGTTCCTGCGAGGGCAAATCGGATATCACCACGTGGAGCGACGCGTTCAAAACGGATATGAAGAATTATCTGAGCGCGCAGTTGGCGAGCTATGAGACGAAGGCGAATGGGTGGATTTTCTGGAATTTTAAAACAGAGGGCGCCCATGAGTGGGATGCGGCAAAGTTGGTGGAGTATGGAATTTTTCCGGATTTGAGGGCGGGGACTCCGGCGGCGATTTGTTCGTAGGAAATGGGAGGGATGGGTTTGAGGGGGGGAGAGGGGGGTGGAGGAGGTAGGAGAGGAAATTGTAATTTAAGTACATATACCCAGAGACTTGGCGATCAACAAAAGTCTGTACAGTTATGATATACAAAGGGAGATGGTTTATTTTTTTCATTTAATTCATTCATTCATTCATTTATTCATTTATTATTTAACCAAGTACGAATCCATGCGAAATATCGAATGGGGTTACTTAGCAATTACGTAGCAGTGCAGTGAAACAAAACATCGTTAAAGGAAGAGAAGCTTCATGTACATATCCTCCATCCATATCCTATCGAAGAACCTCTTCTCAGCTATTCATCCCTGTACGCCATGCCATGTCTGATATCCGTTTCTCCCGAGTCTCCTAGAGTCTAGTTCTCAGATCGCTTGTTTGTGTTCTTGAGAAATCGAAGTGTCTGCGAAAATACATAGGTGTAGAAAATAAGAAAGAGAGGAGGAATTCGTGGTAAGTCGTGAGTCGTGAGTCGTGATGAATATCTGGTTTCTTGAATACCCTCCAGATTGAAGTCGTGATAATGTCGCAAGATGGGTATGTAAAATCGTCATTCGTAGAGAAAAACAAAAGTACAGAAAATTAAAAACTGGTGTGATTTGTCGTGGGGGAGGAAAGCGAAGAAGCGAGAAAGTGGGGGGTTGGAAAGGGGGTAGAAAAGAAGAGGAAGTGAGAAGTAGATTGCATTGAAGTATCTTTGCTTTGATGTTGGAGATCGTTATCCGGATTGTGTTGAGCATCGAAAGGGTATGAAAGGGACTGGAAGCGAAATGTCGAGAAGATACACGAGAGGAATGAAGAGAATGGGAAAAATGAGTACTTTTTCCTCAATGAATGAATATTGAAAGATTCTCACCATCCAATTCCTTCCCAACCTCGAAAACAATAAAAATCTCATCACCCCATCACCCCTCCTCAACGTCCCCCATCTCCAAACACCCCCTTCCCATTCACATACGCCGGAATGGGCCAGAACTTTCCATAATCATGATACCCACCATCATCACTCCTCAACAAAAACGCATCATTCCGATTATGACTGACCCCATTACTATAGATCAGATTATTCAACCAACCCTTCGCATCTCGCAGACGATATCTGCATTTTTCGCAGAGCGTCAAGGGACAGCCATCGCAGAGAAAAACAGAGGGCGCGGGACAAATCATGCAGGATTTGGAGATGGGACGGTGCGGATGTCGATTCATGTGGGTGTGATGATCGTGGGTTTCGTTGAGGGGGGCGGGAGCGGGAATGGAAGATGTAGTCGCGGGAGTGGGAAGCAGAACGGCGGAATTGGAAGTCGAGGTGCTGTGGCTTAGCCAGCCGGATTTGCCCCACGAGAAATCGTCGTTGCCGAACATGGAGTCCATGGAGCTGTTGAGGATGGAGTTCATGTCGCAGTAGAGATCGGAGTCGAGGTCGATATCTATGCTGCTACTCAGGTGGGGATGGGTGTGTGAGTTGACGAGAGAGTTTCGGCGAGAGTTTGTGCTGTCTTTATGCGCACTGGTGGACTGTATACCAGTATTCATACCGGCACTGCCTGACTGCATACCACTTGAATTCATACCACTTGAATTCATACCACCTGAATTCATACCACTCGAATTCATACCTCCAGAGCTCATACCACCACTGCCTGCTTGCACACCACCCACATTCAACCCAACATTAACAATCGAATTAATCTCCTCGACCGTCATATTCCCCTCACTCAAATCCCGACCGACATCAAATCTAAACCCCCCCAAACTCCCATCCACAGCCCCCTCTCCACCCTCTCCATCCCTCAAACCCGCACCCGAAGATTGTCGCGCATACCCACCCTGCCACCGACCATCCATATCCAACGCCACAATATGCGTAAACTCCTCATGACACCCATGATCCACAATCTCCCTCTTCCTGCCCTTACACCCGAGACAGATTTTCGTCTTCCCCAGATCGACTTGTCGATACGCGGCGCCGCAACACGTGAGATTGTGCATGAAGGGATTAATCAACAAATTATCAATCGGCGAGAGCATTTCCCGAGGCTCGCCAAAGACGTTGGATTCTTCAGAGAGGGGCGCATAGCGATCATAGCTAGCCGTCGCCGCCGTCGCCGCACGAGTCGTCTTGCTCGAAGAAACGGATGCCGAACGAGCGGGCTTTTTGGCCGCGGGACCGCAACCGGCGGCTTCTTGGGCGACTCGCTTGCCTTTGTTACTGTGCTCGTGCTTCTCGGGAAGAGCGCCGCCGAGTAGGTGTTTTCCCGTTTGCTTGCATTCAGCGCACCATTCTCGACCAGCGGGACCCCAGATCTCGACGAAATTGTGATTGTATCGATTGATTCCACCGAAACTTGGGGTTCCGGTGCAGAAATCGCATTCGAAGTTTTCTCCAATGGTTAGCTTGTTTAGAGCCAATGGCCGATCATCTACATCAACAATCTTCTTAGAGCGATGATCTAGAGTCAGATAGTTTGAAAGTCGAGGAGCGGGTTTTCCGTCAAAAGGCATGGGACTATTGAGATTATATCCTTGAAGCGAAGAGTTAATACCCGCAGCAACTTGAAATAGAAGTGAGCGTTCGAAGGAATCCTCGGTCACAGGTTGAGGGTTGTCCAATCGAATGACACGGTTATGGAACAAGGTGTTTAGAAGAGAAAAGGGTGGTGAGACGGGTGGAGTATATCCTGGTATATTTGCTTGATTCCCACGCTCATTTGCTTCGTTCTCCACGGCGGCTTGATCCATCATGGCTTCGAATTGATCTAATTGCATGGGATGATGAAGTTGTTGCGGCAATTGTAGATTATTTTGACCGCGTTGATTCAGCATGAATTGATGTTGTTGAAAAGCTGGATTAAATTGCATGATCATATCTCTATTCATGTTCATCAAATTTGTGTTCGCGTTCGCATTCGCATTTTCCTGAGAGTTGAACGTTTGAGACGGCTCGAAATAACCCAGTGTATTACCCGATACGGCAGGGTTTGGCGGGATCGGAACACGCGATGTTGGCCATGGAACACGAGGTGTCGGTTGATGAAAACTGGGCGGGTGTAAAGGATTGCGAGTTGAGAAAAGTGGCGCATCTGGCATACTTGGAGTGTCTAGATGAACGCTGGCTGGATGTAAAGGGTTTGGAGCGGTGTCATCGAAAGGTATTTCGGGAGCGGCCATTGTTGTCGAGCTAGATCGTGTCGATCTAGCAATTGCATTCGCTACTGCAGGCAAGCCTGCATTGGAATGATTGATGACTGACTGAGTAGGTGTAGCGGATCTGCGTAAGTCGAGTGCCGAATGAACGGGACGATTAGAGGAGTTTAGTACTTGTGGCTCATATGACCGAATCCCGATCCCATTGAGTTATTAGGATTATGTCCATGTACAGGAGTAGCACTTCTTTGACGTATAGCCTGCTGAGGAGAAGACTGATGATATGTGCGTGTATCTGGTGCAAGTCCAGATGGAAGAGCACCACCCATCACTTGATTCGAGGTATTTGGCGCAAAATTCATGTTATATCCACCAGATACACTTGCCAGATTCCCATGATTGCTACCAGTAAGCAAAATTCCATCCATTGGATGACTGACAACGTTAGGCAAAGGTGCTTGATTTGACGATTCAGCCATTTCCAATCTTGTATTTGCATGAGTTGAAGGCGAGGCTCCGATCATACTTGCTGCTGGATTCTCCTGAATCGAGGAATCATTCATATCCGCCGTCAACCAAGCATTGTGATTCGCAGAACCGTATTCTCGAGCGAAATCCCCAATAATATCTGAAGATGCCGTATTATCATCTTGAACACCACTATTATACCCACCATTATTCATCACATCTCCCTGACCACTAGATTGATGCATTGGCGTAGTGTTTGGAAAGTCAGATCGGAGGGAAGAGTCAACAGCAGTCTGTTGACCTGTTGACAGTGATGTTCCTTCGAATACATTTCCATTATTCGTAATGTTTTGCTGAGTCGTAGAGTGAGTCGAAGGCTGTTGCATCGAAATCTGAAAAGGCGATCTCATTTGAAACTTCGAAGAACGTTCTGGTGTATTGACTTGTACCACCGACGACATCCCACCAGCTTGATTACCAGTATTCATCACAATCTCTTGCGCCGTAGCATGATTCGTAGGATGTATCTGCATCGAAGTCTGAAAAGGCGATCCTAACTGAACCATCTCAGAACAATCCGACAAATTGCCTTTTACTCCCTGCGGCATCCCCCCAGCCTGACTTCCATTACCCAACATAGTTTCTTGCATAGTAGGATGATTTATAGGTTGCATCCTCAGCCCATCCTTCGCCATATCCTCAAAACCCCGTCTCATCACTGCCCCCACAGAAGAAGCCTGCGCAAGCTGACCACTCATATCCATCCCATACATCAAATCTCCCGGTTTGGAATTCTCCAACGTCGCCATCATCTCCGCGAAATTAGCTTCGAAATCCGGAGCGGCATCCAACGCAGGTCCAGAAAAGGGGTTTCGACCGGTCGTCATTGTCGTTGGTTGAATATTCATATTCGCTTGAGTCCCATTTGCTTTCTCTACACTTTCAACCATTTGGGTATAAGCGTTTGAGAGAGCGATCCCACTATACGTATTGTTTGAGATTCCCTGACTTTCTTGGCTCGCAGTGCGTCGATGTACTTGGGGTGGGATACTTAAGTGGAAGGGATTGCGAGAGGGATTGTTGGCTTTGACTGCAGCTTTCCACTGCTGTTTATTGGCATCGGTGTTGGTGGGAAATTCTGAATTGGTTGTGAGTATTGGTTCTTGTGCGGGAGTTACTGGGTTTGTCTCTCTATTACCCTCGTTGCGAGGAAGGTTGAGGATCTTGTCGCCGCTGAGATTTTTCGCATTCGAATTTGAGATTAATTGTGGCGCCGAAGCAACAGTAGCCATACTTGTCGCTGGCAAAGACGAAGTGTCTCCCATCAAGTTATCAGCAAGTGCGTCTCCATCACCAACATATAAACTCGCCATCTTTGCAACTGGTATTTCCCCAGCATGCGCCGTCTCTCTCTTTAAAAGATCACTTTGTGAACTTTCGGTGTTCGCAAATGGTGAATGTGAATGAGAATGTGAATGTGAATTTGCAAAGTGAGCCAAATCAGCTTTATTTCCCAAAGCGCGATAAGGATGATTCACTCCTGCACGCGACTGAGGCGAAGCAATCGTGGATGCAATCGTGGATGCAATCTTAGAGCGCGGAGTGGGCGACCGCGGAGATTGTCGATCTTCGATGTGGAAAGATGAAGGAACGGGAGGTGTGCGAATCAACTGACCCGCCGAATATCCCAAAACCAATTGCGAAGGCGAAGTTAAGGAGGCGATGGCTGAACCTTGTGATGGAGAGGTACCGATGTTTGCGGTGGAGAAGGAGAGAGGCTTTGCCTTCTTCCGGGGTTTGCGTGGTGCGCTATTTGAAGCCATGGTTTTTGTGGGTTGTGAGATCCGAGACGATGAGGTTGCGACAACAAGCTGGCTCGAAGAAAGACATATTTATTTACGCGAGTTTTCAGAAACTAATGATAATTCTTTTAACTCAATATTAGTGGGGACTCATTTCGAGAGTCCAATGGAAGACTATCATCTCATTTTGTCTTGAGAACTGTCTAAAGTCTAAACCTGAAAGAAATATATCTTGGTATTGTCTGATCTTCAGTTGAGATATTCACACTTCCTCCAACTTGGATAAAGGTGTTGTTCGTTCATCATTACACACTTTGCAGACTAGGCTTTGAAGTCTCTACTAGACCGTTATTACTTGAGCAAACAAATCAAACAAGAGATGAACTTTCTTTGGACAACGTTGTCAGTAGAGTAGTGTGAGACACAATAGAAGAGATTTTCTTGACATACCTATTCTGCACTTCCAAGATATCCTTCCTAAAATATCATTATGAAGTTCTAGATGTATACAGACAGACTACAACCAACAGCCCATCTATATCACCATCACCAAACACAAATACAATCAAGTTCAATCAAGTTAACTGCCTGTCTTCAAATCAGCGAGAACACACATCCACCATGACCAAAACCCAAACCCCACAACAAATATAAACCAAAAACAACATATATTCTATTCCAATTGATAGCATAGTATAACCTTCCAACTTCTCCCCACCCTAATCTATCCCATCTTACATATCCTATCCCCGGGTATCATATATCAAGTATCATAACCATCTCATTCGCAAATCTCAATTCCACTCTCAATCCCACTCTCAACCAACCCGCATATCCCCATCAATATGCCCCCTCCTTTTCCCTCACCCGAAGACCCACCTGCCCCCATCAGACTCTCCTCAATAGCTTGTTTCAGCGCCTCCTCATCCGCCCTACTATTCTCTACCTCCCGTTTCTTCTTCTCCTCCACCGCTTTCTCCGCTTCTTTCCTCTCTTTTTCCTCCCGTTCCTTCCTATGTTCTTCCTCTTGTAAACTCTGTTTCTTAATATATTCCAAGACGATTTCTTCTTCCGTCATACCACCAGCTCCTCCACTCATCTCAGTTTCTTTCCCTTTGGAAGCGAGAGATTTCTCATGCTCTTCCCTAGATTCCCTCAGTACCCTCTTTAAATCCTCATCATCTTCACTCTCCTCATTTGTCATTTCTATAAACCCCCCTCCACTTCCACTTCCACTCGCCCCTTTATTGCCCCTACTACCCTGCTCCTGACTAGCCACAACACTAGCTCTAATCGCACGATCCATAACCTCCTGATCGCTCAACCCTGCTCTCTGACCACCTTGTAGTTCCGCAACACTAGCTCTTATAGCCCGCTCAATCATAAGATCTTCTTCTATATTACCACGTGAAGTAGCGGCTACTGACGCTTGAATTGCCTCCTCGAAGTCAGATTGAACATGACTGGTATTTCCGGTTGGTGGATTCACATTAATGACTGGCGAGTCTCGAATCTCATCAGACGAGTGAGTATGAGCTGTTGTTCTTCGACAAAGTCCCATCGGGCAGTGTGAAAGTAGACCCTGTCCTCCTTGCCTGCTTTCTTCTTCACGCTTGGCTTTTCGCTCCTCGTGTAGTTTCTTTCTTTCGTCGAAAGTGAGATGTCGCGTCTGTAAGAACCCTTTTGGTGAAAGGTGTCCAGTGCCTTGACCATCAGGACCTTCATCTTGAATTTTCTGCTTGGCATTTTGGTATTCCCGTTTATGCTCCGTCCAACGCTGAATAATATCCAGACGTTCTTCTCTGCTACATTTCTGAGCATCTTCGAAACCTTGAGCTGTTCTGGCTGCGATGATATAGTTGAGTACGCTTGAGCCAAAAAGTTTTCTTACTTCTTTATGGATACCCATGAATGTGTAACCAGGAAGTCCCCATATAGCTTAATGATATTAGCAATGCATGTGATGATTGTTCAAATTTTGACTTACCAGCTCCCGGCTTGAGAACAACTCCTGCAATACCCTTCCCGATACCTTTAATGAGTCCAGCAGCACCTTCCTTCTCCGCACCACGCAAAGGTTGTGTAACAAGACCAGTGATCCCATCAAACATTCCATATCCAAATTCCCTTCCAGCTGCCTTCAATCCGCTTTGAAAATCCGTCACCTTTTCTTGTGGCCTGACCGTATCATCGCCATACAATTTAGGTGCATTGTGAAATCCACGCGCCAAGCCTAGTGTGAAATCCATGGGTGACTTCAACCCCGCACCAACTATACGCGAGATGCCTTTTCCTGCTCCTACAGCATTTTCAATCGTCAACTTCGAAGGATCAAATTCCTTGGGTGTCTCGGAACTTGAATCATTGCGAGAATGACGGGATTCTATGTTATCCTTCAACACTTGGCGCAACGAATTTGTATGCTTGATACCAGGACTCGCTGTGTGCGATATGGAATCCTGGGTACTTGGCGTTGAAGGAGTATCAATATCATTCGAGGATCGCTGACTACTTTCGAAAGAAGTCTTTACTGACGAATCTGATGCTTGCAGGAGACTAGCGTCAACCGAACTAAGCGATCTTTCGTCTAATAGCAAATGATCCTGATAACGACCCTGCATAGAAGATTTCCGTGTAGCAGAAGCACTTGATGGTTCTTTAGCAGCAGCATGAGCTTCCTTTTCTCGCTTCACCTTCCTGAAGATTTCAATAGGGAAATCCGCTACACCCATACTGAGACTTGCAATAGTTCCTAAAAGTGCAGTTGCCCCTCCAGATATTGGATCCCATGGACCATCATCAGTTTCATATTCTTTTGGACGATATCTAATTCTGTCAGCCACCATCTGAATAATAACCTATGCAAAACAACTTACAATTTCAAATCCGCAAAATTGATAAGATTCTCACTAGCAAGAACATTCGCAGCCAAAGCACTAAGCCTGGTTTGAGTACGCTTGACCCTCCAGACCGCTACTCTATGTGGTGCCAATGAGCATCTCATGTTGTCGACATCAAGATGATCGTGAAAGCTTTTCCCACCCTCTTCGGTGCCCTTCTCTTCTTTAATCCTAGCCCCCAACTCTTGCGCCTTTGCCAAAGTTTCAGGCTTGAGAGCATCAGTAATAGCTGCAGCAAGTTTATCGGCAGTAAGTTGCTTGTACGGAATGGGTAGTGGACCCGCTCCAGCTCTGGCGGTCATTGCACCCCAGAATGGCTGATCACCGAAAAATGGCACGACAACAGTAGGTTTACCTGTAGCAATACCGGCAGCAGTAGTTCCAGCACCACCGTGATGAACAACGCAAGACACATGTTGAAAAAGCCAATCATGAGGAACATTACCCAACATGAAAACTCCCTCAGGTACGTCAAGCGCATCACCACCGAGACCTCCCCATCCCTTGGATACTAAAGCCCGAACACCAGTTTTCTTGACAGCTTCAAAAATGAGGGTTGTCATCGCATTAGGATCATCAACGACAATCGAACCGAATCCAATGTAAACAGGTGGCGGGCCATCAGCAAGAAAAGCCGCCAGATCTGGCTCAGGAGTATAGGAGGACGCCAAAGAGAGGAAATAGAATCCAGATATCGAGATGTGCTTTCCCCAATCTTTTGGCTTCGGAATAAGTGCCGGTGACCAGCAATATGTGTATGGAACACGGAGACGACTCAACATTCCAGGTGCCCAGATCAAACTGATAGGATCAAGTCCAAGAGCCCTTTCTCTAAATCGATTGATAACATCTCCAAGTCCTTGCCATGTCATCATTTCAACAAGTGCATAAGATATGAAGTTAGTCATGTTCACGTCTGCGTTGGAGGATTGAATATGCGCTAAAGGATGAGGAAAGGACTGAGTAGGCGACCAGGGCATTCTGTGTACAAGTAAGCAAAAGTCTATTAGCATAGTATAGGAGAGATACGCACGTGAACATCATATGCAGTGGTATACCTAGTTTCTCCGCAATATGTATATGTGCAAAACTTGGAGGATTAGCAATAATCGCATCCGCAACGAATGGTCTATCCGACGGATTAGTATCCATATTGATACCGGATTCGAGACCCAACGATAATTGCGATCCGGATTTATTAGGAGCTGGGCCTAGTCCATCTCCAGCTTCGATACACGATCGCCAACAACCCAGGACAATCTCTTCCATGCCCTTTCTTCTTTTGCCCACATCGCCGCTTTTCAGGGACTCGATACCTGGCATGAGACCTGGATTCTTTACCATGAATGCCATCAGCTCAGAAGGATCACCACCAATGCTGAAAAACTCCAATCCATTTTCCTCCACGAAACCTTTGAATGTTGGATGTGTTGCTAGACGAACACGATGTCCGTAAGTAGATTTAAGCGTTTTACCTAGCGCAACGAATGGTTGTACATCTCCTCGAGAACCAACGACATGTATGACAACATTGAGTTGAGGTGGAGGTGTCTGACCTGGTAATCCTCCTAGCGCAGGGGGTATGTATCCTGGAGGGAGGGGATGCGCATCTTCTTTCGCGTTAAGTAAAAGCTGATTTCGAAGGGCGGGTATAAGAAGATCGGATAATTTGCGAGTTTTCTGGTTGATATTTATATTGATTCGACCATCATCAGAGACCTTCGCCTGGGTATCAAATCCGTCTTGACTGAGTTCTATTTCATTATGCTTGTTTCCATATGCAGGTGGAGGTTCTGTTGTCTCGTAATGAGACTCTGTATCTGGGATGCCTAAATACGAAGGACGATGTGCACTGTTCAAACAAGCAATTAGTAGACGTTCAGATCCGAAGGATGAATGTATACGAACGACGATGAAGGAGGCGCATTCGTGGAGGTCCCCGCGACACTTTCCTGATGCCTAGAATCTCTTCTCTCATGTTGTGGTTGATCATTGTCCTCAATATTTCCATAAATTGCAGCTTCAGCTTGTGCGATCAGAGCAGAAGGTACAGCACCGTCTGCAGGCTGATTCGAATCAGTGGTCATATCGATAAGCTTCCTACGCTGATAACAGCGTGGAGTATGAGATGCGGAGTGATACAGCTATTATAAAGATGTCAAATGTGTGGTATTGGGTATCATGAGTATAGTTCTAAAATACTTTCTTGTTGTATGCATGTGGAAGCTTAATTCTCAGTCCAGATGAGGCTGTGACATATACCCCGCGGAGTAGCGATGACGATGGAGGTGGCAAGGTTATAAAAGCAAGGAACCCCACAATATATCTATCCCATATCCCAATGAGTTGGTCACATATAATACAGCATGGACATAAGAAAGGAATACTTCTTCATTGTATAGTCTACCTTCAGTACCTAGTTGTAGTCTGTACTGGATCACAAGATAGGGTCAAGCATGCGATACATGATATTCCAGAGCATCTATGGACGCTCAAGCCTTTCAGAGGCCTTCCCCACCTAGGTACTTCTGGATTATATACAGAGTACCGACTTTATACTTGGAAACTATTAAGCCCACCAATAAACCCAACCATCATTTCATTTAGTAGACCGTTTGCAAGCATATCATCAGCACTTGCACTGGAAAGCAAATGGATCCTGGTGTTTTGTTGCTAATTTTTGAACATCGCGCGCAGTGGAGGTGGCCGGGGAGCTACGAGGTGTGGCTTTTGAGCTTTCGTGACAGTGTTCAAACCCTTCCAAGCTGGAGGCACCAATTACTGCCAAAGCACAGAACATTGTACGTACAGTGACGAGTTTTGAATCACTCAGAATGATTGTCAATTGTCCGCGTTAAATCTCCTCCATTATACCATAACTAGACAATATCCACAATCCATAGAATCACAAGCTGATCGTAGAGCCCGAAAGTAAATGTTCATCAATTCTTTTGATCCCCTGAAAGATTGCTTATAATACAAGAGCACCATATATGCTCCACTCCACATCACCCAGCGTAAGAATTCCCAAGCACCATTTTGACGCTTCTCCAGCCAAAGACCCTCGACCGCGCCCTCATATCCTCTGCTCCAACATTGTAAAGACCGAATTTAAGAAGAGAATTTGCGTGTAACCTTTGCGATGACTGAATATAATGTTAGCTTGAGATCGTCAATGAGAAAGGAATAGAAATAGCTTACTGTGGAGGGCAACAACACTGAAGATGAAAACGAGGGAAAGAACCAAGACGACAACAGGGTCGACCTTCAATCCTGGAGATTCATCGGTGTAAAGTCCTATTAGGTATGTCAGTATGACTGATTCCAGACACAAATGTTCGTTATAGATCGCAGAACTCCTCAAAACCGTGGCCTGGATCATATAGCTCGCACAAGAGTGCTGGGAGAATGTGAATCGGGCCCCAGGAATTGTGCGGTGCTCAGCATCCCTCACATTGAGGTCAATTGGAATCAGAAGAACGAGAACATGCACTCGAGTAAACTCAAGCATGCGCAATGCATGAACTACAAATTATGCTCCCACCTCGAAGCATAATAACTCCAAAGAACGAATTTCTTCGATCCTCTTTATTCACCAATCCACCTGCGACTCATCCCACGAGTTCTTATTTCCTCTCTAAATCCTCACCCACCAATTCCCATACATCACTCTCTCCCACTCCTCCACTTTCCAAGCTACTTTAAACAATCAATTAAAAAAAGCAGACTCACTCAACATAGTACTCGAACTTCCCCCGGCACCTGCCGCTCTGGTACTGCTCGGCCTCGCATTTGCAACCTTGTCCTTTTGATCTGCCGCCGCACGTCTTCTGATTGCTGTCTTTGGGCCTCCAGGAGGAGTTGGGCTAGAAGGTCTACCCGATACCGCCGCTACCGGGCTGTTGACTGGGGATGCCGATCTTGGGGATGACTATTTTGGAATCATTTAGTGACTGTGGTAAGAAATCTGGTGTCGCGAAAGGAGGAGTGCCATAGGGCTTGGGAGAGGAAGCAATACTGTGCGGTGGTATAGTCGAAGCGGAAGAATTGACAAGGAAACTAGTACATACCATTGTGAAGAAAGAAGTGTGATGATTTATGTGAAAAGGATTCAAAAGAAAGTTGTGAAAGCTCGAATGTCGAATTAAATTTATATGGTCAAAGTCAAAAGTCGCAATGATAAGGTAGAGCTGGTCTTTGATGAGCTGGTTCAAAATGTCAAAGGACAGATTCTAAAAGGAGCCGAATGCTTGGTGCACCAAAAAGACGCTAATGAACCCCAGACCACCGGGCATTTAGCCTCATGCCACTGATAGGACAGACGATTTATCATACATTTTAATAACTTTCATTTCTTTTCATCTCATCTCATTTCAACTAGTAGTTTTTCTCTCCGTCGATTGACTTGAACAGAAATATCATCACTTTTTGACGTCAAAAATATGGAAATCAATAAGAAATAGCCACCCAAAAATGCATCTTAGTATTATTATTAAGTTTTTATTTACCCAGTAATTATTTACAAGAAAGGTGTAATTGGAGTGTAAGTAAAGTAGAAGGTCGTATGGAATCGTTTCATTTTTGGTATTTGATGAATGCTATCTCCAAAGCATTCACAAAACGGTGGATAGAGTGTTTGATACATGAAGAGTCTGCGCCATGCGCAAAGCCCCGAGAAGTTTTAATAAAGTAGAAAAAAAAAGAGTTGGACAAATGAAAATGTCGGATATGCGTCTGCCCAAAGTGCCTCAGATCTTGCTGGGCAGAAAAAGAATGTGACAGGCCGATCTGTTGTTGTACGGTGTGCATCGTATGATGCTCGCTTTTTTGCTGTTCGCTCTTCCATTGAGATGATGTTATTTTTCTCATATCCCAATCACGGAGATTTCGACCCATCAATGTGATTTGATCTCTCGCTTTCTAGCAATTTTCCTCCATCACTCCCACTCGCATACCTTCCTGCACCAAGGCTGACCCAGCACGCTGGCCCATTATATAGATTAAACAGTACATTCTACAACGAAACCAAAGGTATCAACCGAAACGCCTTCCGCTATGATATCAAGCGAATTGCAAGAAGATTTTGCTCCCTTCTTAGAGCGCAACATCAAGAACTAAACTGACATCTCGGACCTGCGAGCCGGCCAAGTCCTCGAGAACTGGGATTAGATCCAAAAGCTCATTGTCGTGAGCATCTGAGAACCAACTGCTGATAGGAACAGCATGTTGCGGGTGGAAGATGTAAGAGGTGGGAGAATTGTCAATGATAATGGTTTCTCTCAAATCGCGACCGACTTGAGAAAGATCCTTTACGTAATTTCCTTGATGATTGTAACAACTTTCACGGAAAAGTCGATGATGAACAACGTGATGAATGTCAAGTTGGTCGAGAAGTGGGTCACCATACTATTGATTTGTTAGTAAATATCTATGAGGGTCAACATTCTAGTCAATAATACCTTGGAAACAGAAGCTGTGAAGACCACAACCTCGTAGAGTTCCCCGACTCGCTTCATAAATTGATCAACGCCAGGACGCTTGATGACGTATACATTGTGGAATTGCCCTTCAATCTCTACGGGAATTGTGAAATCTGCTTGGTGTAAGATCTAATGAACATGTTGGTTAGCTTCCGAATACCGTTTCCTACTTCTGTGCTTGTGACCTACCTTAAAACTACTATGAACCAAAGTCTCGTCGAGATCAAGAACCAGACATTTCTTTCCTTTGAATCTTGGTGCAATTGGTGGTAAGAGCCATTGCTGTTTTTGCTCTATAGATTCCGTTTCAGTGACGTCTTCGGTAGTTGGGATTTGAGGGACGGGTGGCGGAGGTGGAAGAGTTTGACCAGCCATTGGTTCATCTTTTGGGAGTGGTAATGGAGCCTCGTCGGTTTCGGTGGTTCCTGGATCCAAGTTTGCGATCTTCTCGTCTCCACCATCTTGCTGTCCCAGATCCGAACTTGGAGATGCAGCTCCGATTGCCGCTTCAGACTGCGCTGGAGCATCAACAGATACTGTTGGGTTTGCGGTCTCAGGTAGCGTAGGCTCTGCTTCTACAACAGTGGGCAAGTCTGGCAAAGGTTGATCGCGAGCGTCACTGATTGGACGATTCAGCTCTCCATTGGCATCCGAGGAGGAGGGGGTAGCTTTGGCGGTTTCCTGAGAGCTTGTTGCGTCATGCTTCTCCTCTCCGCTCTCGACTTGAGGCGCTTGTTGAGGTTGCAGCAGATTCTCTTTCTCTACTTGTGGTACCGCGGGAACACTGGCTTGTTGTCCCATCTTGCTCGAGTCAGGTTGCTTAGCTGTTGTAGGGCGGCTTAAACTAAATTTGGAGACCTTGTTGGCAGGAACAGGTGCATCCAAAGAATTGGCGTGGTCCGGAGTACCGCAACAAAGAAGAGAGAGAAAGCTCTTCTTCTTTTTTGGTTGACGAACTGAAGGAGCGTCTGGAACTGCTGGTTGCGAGGAACCTGCAGCGCCTGTAGGGTTTCCAGGTGATTTTATCGACATTTTGCTGCTTGCCGCACTCCCATTCCGCCTTCGCCCAAGAAAACTACCCTTCGATTCCTTGGATCGCCCACCTATGCTCTCTCTTCCCTCGCTCGCTGTCGCTCCACTTAAACCCGTGGAAGTTGGCGAATGCTGGATTTTGTTGGAAGACGATCTCGATGGAACTTTAAGTAGGTCCTTGTTCTTCTTGGGAGTTTCAGTCAACGGTCCGCTGGTTCGTCCTTGATCCTTTTCGACGTTGGTAGTCGAATTCAAACCGTTGTCGGAATCTCCTGTCAAAGTATTTTGAGTAGTCGACTGTTGTGTAGATGAGCTGGGTGGTTGGGAAACTGCGGTGACTATCATTAATTGTTAGCAACCTATACTGGTATTGCGGTCATCGGCGCATCCGATGTTTGGAAATAGAAAATTAAAGTATATAGTGTAGAGAAAGAAGGTACACACAGTTGGAAGTGTCGAGGGTAGGTGGTTTAACTCCTTTCGTTCCTTCCAATGAAGTTGAGCGGCTAGGATCTTGCTCAGTCGGCTGAGCTACCTCATTACTCATCGAGGGCAATTCGATATTGATTAAGAAAAAAACAAGATTATCGGAGGACTAAATCTTTATAAAGATCTATCGAGTCGAATTCAAGGACTTTTATCTTGAAAACGCGTCGAATGATTTAAGTTGATGTCCCTAATCGTTATTTAATTAGTCTCTTTAGTCTCCTATCTAAGAACCTTTTGGTACTAGAGATGCGTTCCGTTGCGCGATAAATAAAGAAATGCGATGATCTTTAATTATTTATTTGGAAGTGGAGCGAGGAACTTGGGCGCAGTCGATGATTGAGGAAAAGAATTGAATGGGGAGTGAATTGAATTGAATTGAATGGAGTTGAATGGAGTTGAATTGATTCTGTTCAAGATATATTGGAATGAAATGAAACTTACAATCAACAAATCTCGACGCTCCTGAAGGAGAGAAATTGAAAGAATGACTTTTGAATGAAGATTGGACGAGATGAGTGTCGATAATAGGATGGGACATTCAGGACCTTTGAATTAGCGAGATTGGATTGGCGCTAACAAGCTTCAGCAGAGCTACAATAATAAGATGACTTCTTCTTTCACTTCTCACTTCACTTCTTTTATACCAGTCAGTGCTTGGTAAATAAAATCAAATGTAATGAAAGTCGTAGGTAAGGTACTAATCAGGATACAAGAGGTAATCCGTTCTGGGTAGGTAAAATGAAGAAGAGATGATGACGAGAGAGGTGGTCGAGTCGGAAAAAAAGTAAGATATCTTTCCAAATCAATCAAACTTTATTAATGTAGGTATCTTTCTTTTGTGCTCCGTACCTAGCAATACCACTGGTTTTTATAGGATAATCCTCTTTTCGTTTTCTGAGAGGGACGTTGATCTCATTGGTACCAATCGTGGCAATTCTTTTCGTAATTTGCAGGCTGTGATATGGGACCTATGTATGGCGTTTGGGACAATGGTGTACCAATATATGTATGTATATGTAGGTAGACAGGTATGAAGTAATGGAGTGAACGGTCGATAGGTGGAGAAAGTCGAGGTAATTGAATCGAGAGGATGATGTGAATGTTGTATTCTTTGATCCGAGTGGTACTGGAGTAGTGGTGGTGGATGGTGGTGGATGATGATGATGATTAGGTAGGTACCTATGATATGATATGATGGATATCTAATAATACAAAGACGTGGCCGTGGCTGTGGTGAAGAAGAAAATGGAGATTTTTATCAGTGTTGTACAAAATCAACCAGCAGTGTATGCAATAACGGTCCGGTAATGAAAGACTCTTTCTTGATAATGATTGATGGGGATGGGATGGGATGGGGATGATGGATAATGGATAATGGATAATGATCATAACCCAAAATCTTACGGCTGCGAAATTAAACAGCTTTTGATTCGATCGAACCTTAAAACTTGGAACCTGCAGGAAAAAGATACAAGATTCGGAGGAAAGGGAAAGAGTTCAAGGGAGGGGGAAGGGGGGCCATTTTCATTTCTTATATACGGTTATGTACTAGGGATCTATCTAAGTATACCTTGACCGACGATGGGGGTGATGGAGATGAAGATGGGAATGGTGGTGGTGGTGATGATACAAAGCAATTGGGTCAAGGTGTGTCATCGATATGAGGCTATGGAAATGGTATATGTAGCTAGTCGACCAGTATATGCCTATGATAATTATACATTTGAGTGAGGCTTTCCACTGGAGTCGCTTTTATCCATGAACCCCCAAGGGTGATGATGCATTAAACGGAAAAAGCACAAGCCCCTAGGTAGGTAGGTAGTAGGTACTAGGTAGGTGGAGGTGCTAGAGCCCTAGTACGAGTAGTATGCATCTATCTAAAAAGTCTCCCTGTGTTTTTACTTGATATCTGGGTACCGGTCCCTAGTCAAAATGGTAATAAGAGGAGTCAGTCATAAGAGGAGTCAGTAATATAATAATAAGAGTGAGGGAATGTAGTATCGTATCGTATCGTTGATGTTGATTCCTCGTCCTCGTACAATAATATAATGATAATAATAATAGTAGCAAGTCCCCATCTTTTTCTTCCTTCTCTTCTCCTCTTCTTCTCTTCTCCTCTTTTATATCGTATTACACCATACACATAATGAATGTGCATTGCAGACTACAGTGTGTGCACACTCTCAAAACCCAGCGAGATCTTCTTACCACCACAGCTCTCTCCAATCCGTTCTGGACCCTCCCATTCAAATATTTATCATCAATTCCGGGACTTGGCCAACTCGATCAAATGGATTGATTGCCTAGTGGGTACCGAACTGGGTAGGTACGAGTAGCCGTGGGTAGGTAATAAGTATGGCTATGGATCTTTCTTCCAAGGGGCAAAATGAGATTAGGCGCCCAATCATTTACCGCCCGCAATCTAACCTATCAAATACGGGAGCTCCCTTTTTGATTGGAAAAGACTATCCACCTCCTCCGTACATCTTAGATTCGTAGTCTGCCGGAAGTATCAGTTCACCACATTAATTGGTCGGATGATTTAATTCAATGCCATCCATGTTACCCGAGCCTAGATACCTTTAGGGTCATCATACATACCCGTGGAGTGTGGACAAGACAATTTTCCATCACCCTACGAATATTACCTAGGTCTAGGTAGATCAACCGATCATATCAACCAAGTACTTCTACGATACAGAATACTCGATTGATCCCAAGGTCCTTCATCAATCTCCCTCCCTCAAAGAAAGAGACACTTCATTCAAGAGAGAATGCTATGAATATCTTATTCCTTTCAGTACATATGTATCACATCCTCACTTACTTCCGATGTGCGTACACAGAATCGAGGATTTCTAACTTCTTAGACGATACGATACCTTCATGTCCCCTTTTGCAGTCAATCAGTCATGTTATCAATACTTACAGATGCCGTACCTCAAACATGAGTAGCTACCTACCGTACCTACCTAGTACCTACAATAGCTCCCCTTGTATGATGCTGATCCGGTTATCTCTCTGCACCTAGCCTGTGGCAACTTGTCAGCTTACAGGAAACTGCTTACCCTCAAAGGTGTGGTAGGCAGTAAACTCGGACATATATCCTAGTTTAAAGTCTAAATAGAGGTATACCAAGATGTGCTCGGAGCAACGGTACGTGAAAAGTATATAAATATATATATATATATATAAACACATGTATTACATTGCCGACTATTGCTTCACACCGTACACAGAACGTTCAAACGGGAGAGATACGGTACTCACGCTCATCCGGATGATCTTGGAGAAAGATCCTCGAACTACTATTATTTACTCTCCACTTCAGCGGTTATGCTTTGACCTATTAACGGGGCCTAGAATTGATGAAGCTATCACCAAACCAGGATCAAGCTTTTGGTGCCCAGGTGATTAGGTGATATCTTGTCAACCATTCTGTACCGTTTGTCCAACTTTAATTTTTCAACGGCCAGGTCTTCCGTTCTATAGACATATCACAAAATCACAGCATTCAAAATGATAGTCGTTTCTAGGGTCTAATTCACTCGCCAGATGCGGATGTCCGATGAAAGCCCGAACAAAACGGCTCAAGAAGTTGAGAAATTGAGAAGTTGAGATGCTCGGATAGTTTTTCAATAAGTTCATCAGTCTAGCTTCTTCCCGTTCACTTTATAACAAATTGGTATGACCGTAAATTGGAAGGCCGAGCCCGAGTAGACTTTATCGACTACTCGAGTATCCCGGGGGGATTGACAACAGCAACAAATGACTTTGCCAGACACTTGAAGGCATTGAGTCTTGTACTTGTTATGAAGGGACATTACTGATCTGGTAAAGGTCGTGAATATGGTATTCAGATACAGTGTTCATATACAGTATCATGGTCATCTCTGTATTCTTTCTGGCTTCAGTCAATTTATACTCGTAATGTACGAAGCACTTCTTGTTTCTTTTTCTTTTCTTCTTTTTCCTTTCAAAAAAAGATTGCGGGGAAGCGAAGCTATGAATTGCGGGTTTGTCCCTGCAGGTTCCAGCAGCCTCGGTTTTACATTTCCACTTCATCTCACATGTCAATAAACATCATGATCATCAACTCTTCGGAGCTGAGTAGAATATCTATCAAACGCAGTACAATACAATACTAGTATTAGTACTATCAATACTCACAACATACCAAACGTACTATCGTCTTTGAATTCATGTGAGATAAACCTGAGCTTCGCTGAATGTCCAGCGACTTGATCCGTCATCGAAATTGCTTGGAATGCAACACCGTCAACCAAATACTTTACTCTCGAGCGAGGAAATGAAGTCCAAGTAGCTGGTGTATATTCGATATCGCAGAGTCTCGTTCCTCTTCAAAGATTCAGAAAGATGGCTTCGCAATCTACTTTACGATATTCCGATCCCATCGGCGCCCTGTATCAAAGATACGCGAATTTCATTCGGAGTCGAATACAGGGAGCTTCAAAGACAACAAAACTGATCGCAACTTTACTCCTCACTCTTTCCATAATATGCGGAGGGACTTTTGGTCATCGATCGTGGCAGAAACGAGCTGCAGAAAAGGAGCAGGGAAAGCGATTACATAGGCGGAACTCTGGAGTTAAGAATAAGGATGGATCGCGCGTGGTATTCGTACCATATAAAGACACCACCTCAAAAGTCACCATATATCCTACCAAACCTTTGACTTTCGATGCTCATAGAAGACTTTTCCTGAATCCACCTCGAGCTGCTGGACTTACGGATGGTCAACAAACTCCGCAGATTCCGCCACCCCAGACGAAGCCGGGATTAAATCTAGCATTTTTACACCAATTTCTCAGTCTCTTGAGTATAATGATCCCAAGATGGTCGAGTAAAGAGACTGGGTTACTTCTGAGCCATGGCATCTTTTTGTTACTTCGAACATACTTGTCATTGGTTGTGGCACGATTAGATGGTGTAATTGTTAGAGATTTGGTTGCAGGTAATGGGAAAGCTTTCAGTTGGGGCATCATAAAGGTAAGAGTGCTAGAATTCATTTCTTTATGTGTGCGAGGTGTACTTTATTCTCTTTTCATTTGATATCTAGATCATCTCGTTTTCTCGTTGCTCTTTAACAATCTTTAATTTCCAGTTGACTGACTATATTAAAGTGGTGTGGCATTGGGGGTTTGGCTTCATACACAAATGCTATGATCAAATTCCTACAATCCAAAGTTTCAATTGCTTTCCGCACACGATTGACAAGATACATTCACGATTTGTATCTTAATGATAACCTCAACTACTATAAACTCTCGAATCTTGATGGTGGCGTTGGGCAAGGTGCAGATCAATTTATAACACAAGACTTGACTCTCTTCTGTGAATCAGCAGCAAGTCTATATTCATCGTTAGGCAAACCTTTTGTTGATTTGTGTGTTTTCAACTATCAATTATACCGATCTCTGGGACCATTGGCATTGACTGGGTTAATGACAAATTACTTTTTGACGGCTTCAATCCTTCGACGACTTTCACCACCATTTGGAAAATTGAAAGCTGTTGAAGGACGTAAAGAAGGAGATTTCCGAGGTCTCCATGCACGTCTTATTGCCAATGCAGAAGAGGTAGCATTTTATGGAGGCGCCAATATGGAGAAGAACTTCCTAGATAAAGAATTCAAAAGTCTCAAAAGATGGATGGAAGGGATATATACCCTTAAGATTCGCTACAACATACTTGAAGATTTTGTTCTCAAATATAGTTGGAGTGCATATGGTTATTTGCTCAGCTCATTACCAGTTTTTCTTCCTGCATGGGGTGGTCTTGGTGGAGTTGCGGAACTGGCGGATGTCTCTGTAGTAGGCGGTCGAGAAAGAGGTCGAATGAAGGAGTTCATCACCAATAAGCGACTTATGTTATCATTAGCTGATGCTGGTGGGCGTATGATGTATTCGATCAAAGATCTCTCGGAATTGGCTGGGTATACTAGTCGAGTCTATACGTTGATTTCAACCCTTCACCGAGTTCACGCAAATGCATACTTTCCTCCCCGAGCCATTCAATCAGAACTTTTCTCTCTTTCAGATGTACAGGGTACCACTCAAAAAGGATTCGACGGGGTCAGGTTGGAAAATGTACCTGTAGTCGCTCCATCGGTCTATCCACATGGCGGAGAAGAACTCATAGATTCCCTCTCCATGGTTGTTCACTCCGGCGAACATCTTCTCGTAAGCATTCCACCCCCCTTTCTTTCTCAATGCCTCAAAGCTAACCCCTCAGATTTCCGGCTCAAACGGCGTTGGTAAAAGTGCCATCTCCCGTATCGTCGCTGGTCTCTGGCCTGTCTATCGAGGTCTCGTGTCTCGTGCCCGCACAACTGGAACCGATGGCATCATGTTCTTACCCCAACGTCCTTATCTCAGCGTCGGTACTCTACGCGATCAAGTCATCTATCCAGATGGCGAAGTCGAAATGCGTTCCAAAGGCCGTCGTGATATTGAGTTAAAACGTATTCTCGAAGAAGCGCGCTTGGGATATCTCCCCGATAGAGAAGGCGGCTGGGATACAAGAAAGGAATGGAAGGATGTACTTAGCGGAGGAGAAAAACAACGCATGGCTATCGCGAGATTGTTGTATCATGAACCTAGATATGGCGTTATAGATGAAGGTACATCTGCCGTCTCAAGCGATGTCGAGGGACTTTTGTATGAAACGTGCAAGGAGAAGGGAATCACGTTGATTACGATCAGTACGCGAGCGAGTCTTAAGAGATACCATACGTATAATTTGAAGCTGGGATTGGGCGATGGGGGAGAGTGGGAGTATGAGAGGATTGGGACGGAGAGGGAGAAGATGGGGACGGAGAAGGAGTTGCAGGAGTTGAGGGAGAGGATGGAGATGGAAAGGGTTTGGAGGAGAGGAAGAGGGGGATTGAGAGGGAGTTGGAGGAGGTGTGGGTGGAGGGGGGGGAGAAGTTGGAGGAGATTGTTTATGGTGGGGGGAGAGAGGGGGGTGGGGAGGGTGAGATGGGTGAGGTGGGTGAGGTAGAGGATGCAGATGTGAAGTTAAAGGGGGAGGGAGAGGGGGAGATGGAGGGAGAGGGGAAAGTCAAAGATGACGGGGTACCTCCAGTTGAGATGTAAAGAAATGTGTGAAGATGAAGATAGATGAGAGACGAATGATTAAACACCTAAGCAAAGCATTTCGAAACCCAATCTTTTTTTTTGTATTCTAAGATCATATATGTATATATATATATATACAAGTAAGATGCAGAGCGAACAACAAATGAATTTATATATTTCATCATCAAACTATCAACCTCAACCTTAACCTCAACATCAACATCAATTCTTTTCCTTCTCTTCACCCCCCTTCTCTACCTCATCTTGTCTTGCCTTCCAAGATTGTCTTGCAAAACAGTTATAAAGCAGTTATATCGCAGTTGTATCGCACTACTTATATATATTTCATTATTTGCATATAATTCTCATTCTCATTCTCAAAAATACCTAGGTAAACACAAGAAGCCAGATAGATAGAAGCCAGATAGATAGAAGCCAGATAGATAGATGCAAGATGCAAAATAAAAAACGAGATTGAAAAAAAAAGATAAAAAGACAAGACCCAATCCAGACTCTGTTTCTTCTCGCAATCTATGTATGGATTGAAGGGTTTAAGTAAGGGACTATATAATAGATGGATGATATAGTAAGAAGAGAGAGAAGGTGCCCAAAGAAATTGGAGAAGAGTCTTAGTGCTGGTACAAACGCTTGATGTTTTGGCTTTAGAATTGAATTTCATTCGAGCACATGGGAAAAGTCCTTGTGGGTTTCATGACTAGTGAGAGTGCAGAATTTGCGGGGTTTAAAATGCACCATTGCGATAGGTTTTGATCATTATCGACTGTACTGGTGTTGACAAAATCTTATGTTTGGAATGAACCTGAGAATGGCATACACAGCAAAGATGAAAATAAACTTCATAAAAAATCATCAACCATTGATTAAAATTTGCACAGAAAACATTTGTCATGTCAATATTGTTGTTTGCTATTGATCCCATTCATTGAGCTTAAGCTAGCACACCTTTCCGAGATGCATGTAAAAACACCAATATTTGAAACCCAACCCAGACTTATGCCACGAAACACTTAGTAGAAAGTTGATGGTCTCTTTGAGGCAAAGAGGTTGGCGGTCATGGATTTGGAGATGCGGTGAGGAAGAGGGAATTTGAGGTCCTTTTCAAGGAGTTGCTTAATGTATGGGCGCTTGACGTCTTCGGTCTTCTCGATCTCAACAACCTTGAGGATCTATTTGGGCAATCAGTAAATTGGTTTTCCTGATTCAAGAACAAATTGAACTTACGTGGATCGACCTGAAACGGGAACGATGTCTGGCAGCCATATCTTGGTACAAAGCCTCAACAGCATCGGTTCTTGACATCTCACGGTACTCCTTGTACATGTTGTGAGTCCCGGAGCGGGAATCATATCTGATCCAGATACCGAAGTTCTTAACCTTCATTGGGCGCTTCTCAGAGATCTGCAAAAGTGGAAAATTAGAATCTCAAGCATTCGAATACGTCATTATGTAATCGCATACCTCGTTCAAGCTGACGATTTCTCCATTTGCCTTCTTGACCTTTCTCAACTTCATCAAGAAGTACCAGAAACGAGACTTTGCAACAACGGTGTTTGGTGCAAAGATTCTCATGCGGTACAACTTTGGGGCTGGGTTGGCCTCGGAAGGCAAGTGACGGCCAATGACCTGGTATTCTCTAAGGCGACCTAAAGGAAAGCATGTTAGCTTCCAGAACTTCCACTCTTAATCTCGAATCCATGCGGTATCAAAAAATAGATCCAATCCATGACTGGCACCATGGCGATGTAATTGATGGTTGTTGCTTTGGCGATATATCGACTCCAATGGAAACGGTTCGAAAACATAAGGTTTTCATTCATCGACAGAAGGCTCCAATATGAAGGTTCAAGAAGCTGGTAGTCGGTGCCTCGATTTTGGATTCTATTGGTCCCATTCGTAAATTTCCCGCTTCCAAACCACAACCAATGACTTCATCCGACTCGATTCTGACCGCTCCAAATGCTCAAATCGAATGCGTTTTTTCCTTGTGCCAATCATTACATTGTCGTGAGGTCCGTAGAGGAGAATTGTCGAATGGTGCGCAATCGTCGTGTCGAGAATTTTGTAAGGTCCATTCCATCGGATTGAAGAAGAAAATCTATATCTTACCCATCTTTATGGGGTTAGCTGACGTCGTTGATTTCTTTGCGATAGAGGTAAACGTACTGTGAAATTGTGTGGCCGTGGTTGTTGTCGTGATTGTCGCTGCAAATTTTGAAATTGATGGCTTCGCTCCTCCCAAATTGAAATTCTCGGTTGAAAATTGAAGCTAAGGGTTTCAATTTTTAGCAGCCCTAGAGATTTCGACCTTACCTTTTGTGGCTTGGTAAACAGTCCATCACGGGAAAGGTGGGACCATGGAGTGTCAATAGCATATTATCAATGGTGATTATTAATTTCATGAGAATCGAACTAAAGAAAGAAGCAATGTAATGAATGAATGAATATGAAATTCATCATTGAAAGATAATTCCCATGACAATACTCCAACCTCTCAGTAAAACGGTAGTTGTGATATCATAACAGTCTATTCCTTGCTCTACGTTTTTTCTACATAGATTCATGATATCCTCGCCAGCGTTCAAGATTTTTAGTTCCCCTTCTCTTCGCATCAATCAAACCATCAAGCATCAAACTGGGTCACTGTTTCCTCTCAGACCATAATAATTTTCGTATCTGTTATTCAAGAGTTGCAAATCCCATCTGAAATTGAAGATGGATGCGTTTTTGCATGAGTTCAAAGCCGCCTACAACGAGGGAAATGGCTACAGTGTGTCTATGACCCTTTATCCTGTCGCCCCTGCTTCAAACCCCAACAGACTTCGAGAATTCTATCGAAGTACAAATTTCGAACATGTCAAGAAAGATATCGAATATCGACTTCTGTATGATGATCGATCTCCGTTGAATTGTTCGGTGGAAGAAGGTCGGGCATGGGTGGACGTTTACTGCGCCTTTTGGAAGTTCATTGGTTTCATGTCCAATGCAGAGGCTGCTCCTGAAGATAACTCAAAGGTATGAAACTGAATATCTGAAATGGAGGAGAGTATAACATGTGTCACTACTGCTTGACCCGACGTGTTTATGGGAACACGTGATAAACTTGCGATTTCTATTGCTACCATTTTCTGGTTCTATCTTTCATACGCTCAAAGATTCAGCTAACAGTTGTTTAGGATGCATGGACAAAGGTATATGAATCATGGAAAGAAGTAACAAATGCTCTTCATCGTGGTTATAGTGCCTGCGGATTTGAAGCTTGGACTGTACCTTGCTTATATGTAGCTGGCAAATATTTACGAATCTTTGCCATCAAAGCTGATGAAGCAACTGGCACCGTATCGAATGCAGCTATGAATTACCAGGATGATTTGAATCCAGAGTCAGAGACAAACGAGAAGCTGGAAGATGCTGCTCGACAACTGAATCGCATATTCACATTATGTCTTAGCGACCGAGCATCCCTTGAAGAATCTAGGAAATGGGCTACTTACAATATTATCAATTTATTGTTCAAGACCTACTTCAAACTAAACTCTATCGGATTGTCAAGAAATATTCTCAATGCGATTCAAGCATATCGAGGTGATATGCCGAGCCTCGAATCTTTTCCTATGTCTCATCAGGTGACGTTCAAATATTATTGTGGGGTTATATATTTTCTTGAGGAACATTATGAAGAAGTAAGTTTATCAAACTGCAATTCTTTCAATGTACAGTTCTGACTAAAGATGTTTTAGGCAGAGAAATATCTCACCGAAGCATGGAGATTATGTCACAAGAGTGCCGTCAAAAATAAAGAGTATGTTCACAATCGTATCGCTAAATGTTAAAACGAACACTAATCACAATATCAGACTCATCCTCACCTACCTGATTCCCTGTCACCTCCTAACAACCCACACTCTCCCCACTCCAGCCCTCCTCCAACCATATCCTAAACTTCAAAAGCTTTTCGGCCCTCTCTCTCGATGTATCAAAAAAGGCGACCTTGCCGGTTTCGACGCCGCTCTCCTAGCCGGTGAAAATGAATTCGTCAAACGTCGTATCTACCTCACCCTAGAACGTGGCCGTGACATTGCTTTACGTAATCTTCTACGCAAAGTATTTATCGCAGGCGGTTATGAAGAAGCCAAGGAGCCAACTGCTGCACCGGTAAGAAGGACTAGAATCCCAGTTGCGGAATTCGCTGCGGCGATCAGTATTGGAAGTAAAGAGACAATGGAAAATGATGAAGTGGAATGTTTACTTGCGAATATGATTTACAAGGTGAGTCTTAGAGTCTTGTCCTTTGAAGAGTCTACTGTACTAACACTTAGTCTTTAGAGCTTGATGAAAGGTTACATATCACGAGCCCATGGGATCGTGGTATTAAGCAAAGGTGGCGCATTTCCTGGAACAGGCGTTTAATGATTTCTCTTAGTGGTAGTGAAACGAAAATGATATCAATTACATCCTGCAAGATGATAACCCGTGCATGTACGAAATGATTCTATTCGGCGATGTTCGCAACAATTTCATCAATTTGTAAGTGCAAAGATTGGTACCGACAACATTTGCCTCTTAGGCAACCGTTGATTCGCCTCACTTTGATCAAATACACACTCGGCGATATACATAAATCCAACATTCAATAACGAAGTATAGATTCCTGCTCACTGTATATACCACACCAAGATATATCTATGTGGTAGTTCCGGCATATTTCACACGAGCCTGGTGATTGTATGCATACCTACATATCATTCTCCTTCTAGTCATATATATATCCCTCGTTCCTTATCCATACACAGATCTGCCTTGAAGATCTTGGCATCCACCTACTTACATTCTGAATGCTATTTTTATGGTTTATTCTTTTTATTCATCCGGGGTTATATCCTCTCTCTGTATTGCATATATATATGCATACCCACACATATATACATATATATATCCCCAGCACCTCGATCTCGATCGCGATCTCCAATACGTCGAATCTGCATTGTTTTTCTGTATACAATATTGAATATGTAAGTAGGTAGGTAGATCACCAAATACCCAAATACCCAATAAATAAATAAATAAATACACTACCTACCTACCTACCTACCTCCTTTAAACTCAGCATCTAGTAGCCCGGCACAGCATGGCATGGTTCATATATATTTTATATAAACTAGGTATACTATACTCTTTAGCCTTGCCTCTCACAATGCATCTCTTGTCTAATATCCCTATTCCTATGAAGCATTTTTCTATCCCTATTTTACTTCCCCATTTCCCCATTCTATATTCATCATGAGTCACTTATCTTCTCTCTTCTATCTATCTACCCATTCATTCATCCATCCATCCCATCAACCTCAACCTCAACCCAATCCCATTCCCAATCACTCTTCTACTTACAAATTTCCTCAGATTACCATCTTTTTCTTCCTCTCTCTTAAATCCAATCCAACCAAATATAATATACCGCGTCTGCGTCCAAAGAGCCCAAGAAGTTACATATATGATACCCACAAATCACAACTCACAACTCACAAATCACAAATCACAAATCACGAATCACGAATCACGAATCACAGTATCTCTCTCCTCGAGCTCCACAACACGACAAGTAATGAATACAAGTATCGCTAAAATTGATATTAATACTTGATAGTCGATACCATTACCATTACCACTACCATCCTATACCCATCCATGATTCCCACAAGTCCACAAGTAAGAACTCGATATCGATATCATCAAACTCGGATTCAAACTCAAAACTAAAATCAAGAAGTCTAGTTCCTCTCCTCCACCTTTTCAATCTCTCGTCGCTTCGCGTTCTGTTCTGTTCTCTTCTGTTCTGTTCTGCAAACTTGACTGCCATTTTGGTTTGCTTTTTTTGCTATCCTATCCCGTCCTATCCCATCCCATCCTATCCTATTTCCTTCTTTCTCCCATCATAACAACAACATGGATTGATGGATTTGACCCTCCTTTTCCCTCCCCATCATAAGACTTTATCATAACAGAAAATTGCACAAAATTGCGCAATAGACAACATAACATAAATGAAATCCCCCAGACTGAAAATAAGAAACCAAAGAGAATAGAAGATAGATGAATAAATTATACAATTCCATCTCCTCGTCCAATCCATAATCTCGTTCTTTCGCGTTCATTGATCTGTCCTGTCAATTTGATATGTCTCTCCTTTCCCGTCCGGGTTTCCCTACATACTTGAGAAATGATGAAGCGTCCGATCTGTAAATGAAACGAAACGAAATGTTCAAATAACAAGACAGGAAAGAGGAAGAAAATAAATTCAGACATCAAAATATCCAGAACAAGGATAACAATAATACATGCGGCACCTTCCGCTCCTTCTCGTCTGTCTGTTCGCCCGTTCATATCGCCATCACGGCGGTGTTGATAAGTCCTGATGAAAAGTAAAGCCAAATTATAAAGAAGAACCCAGTGTGAAAAGAACAACAGAATAATGGTGACCATAAAGAGACCATAAAGAAGAAGAATAACGATTAACAGAAACGCTAACGCCATGGTATCAAAAGAGAATAGGAATTAATGTTCGTTAGGAGAAGTAAATGGTGAGGTGTCATGAGATTTGGTCGAGGTAAGTTGAGACCAAAGGGGTCAAAATTGCGTGCGTGATAGAAGAGTAATGTAAACGTAACGATTGTGTGAATGTTCATGAAATAAGGTAGATAAGTGAAGTGAAAAGGAGAGAAAAGAAAATATCATCAAGAGGAGTGTCGTGCCATGATGCGGCACCCGTGGGGAAAGGAGACTGTAAGGTGCTGAGTTGGCTCGAGGTGAGATACGAGTTGCAACTATCATTCAATGAGTCCTGAAGCTTTTTGGTGAAGCACTACACTCATAATTAGCTAAATTTCAAACCACTTACATGTATCATTACAAGACAAGAATAGAAAGTACTCACGCAACAACATCATCAACATGATTAGCTAAAGCAACAAACAAGTCAAAAAATAACGGCGAGCCTCCCTGCAACATCTCCAATTGCATCGTACCACTTCTTTTAAAAGTGCTTCGACTTCTGATAATGAGAGCCAAATAATGAGCTCTTAGTTTAGAGTCGGTATCGGGTGTATTGGCATATGCATAACGAGCCGACGAGAGAATTGTACTGCATTGAATACCCGATTCTTCATTCCATTAGCGACGATAGTAAAGAATAAAGGGGGAAAACATACGAAGTCCCTGTTTCCTCAATGCCACACGTTGAAGTTCCTCTAGCCCATACTTCTCCGCCGCACAATAAATAACTGTATCCTTCAACAATTCACCATCAATAGAATGATGATGAATAGTTGATTCCTTTCCATCTCCATCACCACTTTCCAGCTCCCATGTATTTTTGCGTTTGTTATGTACTAGTCGAGGATAATAATCTCCTTTGTATAAATATTCAAGTACGGAAGAAAAGATCTCGGGCTCTTCATCGAGGAGTGTTATGCGTTTGTTAATTGTTTCCATGTACTGATTTCGACAGGCGGATTGGAAGAAAGGGGATAGACAGAGGACATCTTCGTGAGCAGCAAAGAGTCGTTGTTCGCGACCGACGACAATTGTGATTATGGATGAGGTCAATGTGCTAGAAAGAGTTAATCATCGTGATAATTGAAGTGCTGTGCTTGACAAACATACTCTGGAGAAGAAATTTGTTCAGTTGGAGGTTTACGAGTAGTTTTCTCATGACGATGCTTTGATACTGCATGTTCTCTAAACGAAGACTTTCCTTTATGACGACGACTTCTTGAAAAACTCTCTGTTGCTTGTGATGTTTTGAAGCTTCTCGTAAACATTCTCGGTCAGTTACTAAAATGAAGCCTGTGAGAAAATCGATTGAAAATCACGACACTGTTTTCTACCACACAAACAGGAAATGAACGTTAGTGATATCGATCGATGAATAATTTGACCCAGAATGTTAATTGAGCCTCATTGATTGAGAGAAAGAATGTTCTCATGAGAAGTGGGTGGACACTTTATATATGTATTCATAGGCAATCAACGGACTAACGCGTTCTAGGACTGGAAGACGCGATTTACCAGGGTAGAGTGATTGCATAAGTGCGAAGCCTACACCAAAACAGGTGACTCTCAATTATTTTTATTTGGCCTTAGTTTTAATTTCTGCCTTGTTTGGATTGAGCATGCCATTGGAAGCTTTTCCCGTCCGCAACAGTAAAGGCAGGGAAGCTCCACGAGAGGTTCGAGCAAATCTTATTTTTCGGTGAGACAATTATGTATGTCGGTATGTGTATCGGTATGGATGTAAGAGTTGGCTTGGAAGGGGAAAATCAAGGATTATCGGGGCTTTCGTTAGGTACCCAATGAACGCCATCTCGCTGTCTAATGAAGCAAACGGAGACATATAGGTGGTAGTCTTGGGCTTCAATCACTATATCGAGCCTGAGAATCAGATATCTGCAAGTTTGTTGCATGGAGGTACAAATAAAGCAGCATTCAATCTATTCCCGATACATGAGCTGAGATGAGATATCGATAGAGACGTTGTATATATCCCTGCTTCCCCGGACCACTCATTGTACAGATAGGCATGACAAGGCTTAGGATATCCCCTCAAAAGGTTGGCCGTGATAAAAAAGAAAGAAGAGCAAGGCTGCTGTACTCCGAAATCTTTTTTCGTAGGAGTTCTTGCGAGAGAATTGGAATATCATAAAATCCATTTAGTTGTAAATACTATAGACTTATGAAAACAATCATCTCTCAAAGTCCAACGAGCGAATGGCTGTGGAAATTGATCGTCCAAGGTATCGATGAATTGGGGAGAATGTTGTACATCGCACATCGTAGGAATGGATTCAAGGAGGCAAGGAAATGCAGTGACCTTGAAAGCTGGAAAGTACATGCAACGCTAAAAGTGCTAGTATGGGATCTTGGTGTGACCCGAAGGTTCGGAATTGCCTGTATGAGATACGTGAAACTGGGAAGAGGTAGGGGATAAAGAATACGGAGGACATTCTTATCTGGAGGGTGTTAAAACTCAAATAACGAGGCTCGAGCGAGGATTAGATGCCCGGATGGTCAGATGAGAAATGGGGGCTGGGAAGAGAAGAGACGACGTAGAGAAAAAAGTTATCGCGTTTTGAGGAGTATCATTGAGTACGCAGACTCACGTGATTCTCCAAAATGAGCTGTAAATGATGCCGCAATAGAACTATACTCGGTAATGAAATTTACAATACTCCAATTTCGAAATGCTATATATAAAGGATTGTAGTATTGACAGAATCTCATTTTTGTCTTGTTAGCTGGGTGTTTGAAGCTATAAAGACTGTCCCATGAGTTCATGCACCACTAGTGGACTGTCGGTTTTGAGACCAGACGATACCTGGGTACATATTAGTTTGATATATCACCAACAACTACTTTACAATTCCACTCTACTCTAGATTGACATCCCGTATAGCCTCTGCAATGATCGAACTTCCACCCCCACGAACCAAAACCTCATTATGCAACGCACTTTGAATGACTTCTCTCTTCACCTCAAACGTAAGATCCGAGCACCTCTTCTCTAGCATAGCTCCATGCGATTCCGGCACCAGCTCATCTTTTCCAGCTTGCAGAATAAGAATCTGTGGTAGTTTCGATCCGGACCTTTGAGTCCGTTCATGTATTTCGCCCAGAGCTTTCCAACTATCAAGGTGGTTTCTCAAAAATGGGTGAAGATGTCGATATGGAAGCCACTTTTGTGGATAGAGTGTCTCTAGCATAGCTTTACTATAGGTATGATATTGATGAGTCTCATACTATCAAGGATTATCGGGAACGAAATACTTACATGCCCAGGAAAGGAGTCTCCAAAATCAATTTCTGCAGACGCAATTCGTATGAGAATATGCCACTCTTCGCAGCCAGACCTGTCACAATACCCGCTCCTATACTTTGACCCCAAAGAACAATATCGCATCCATCTGAGCCTGGTCGTGCTTCAAGATCTTTCTTAACCCATTGTATGGTAGCTTCTGCATCTTTCATGAGTCCCTTTTCCGATGGCTTCCCTCGTGATTTCCAATACCCTCTATAGCTGCAACATACAAAAACGTATTGTACAGACTCTCTATGGGCAGTGGATAGTTTTTCCAGTTTTCGTGGAACCGTGGAGAGGAAAGGAAGCCTTGGTGGTAACGATGCTGCATTACCTGTAGTTATGTGAATATATATAACCGCACAGCAAAAAAGAGGAAATAACAACCTTGGAAATACAAGACATAGACCATCCGCAGTCTACCTTGATCTTTTGTAGCACTGCCACAAGATATTTCTGCGACACATAGGCTGATAGCAGTATTATCTGTGGATCTAATTTTCTCTTCTCTCCATTTTATACCCAGACATTCTTTTTGGTAATTTGCAATGGTTTCTTGTCTAGAATTTGGAGGCAATCCGGGCTATTTCTACTACATGAGATATGTAGAACAAGATGATACAAGAGCGCTTACCATGTAGATGATTTTATTTTGAAATGTTACCATCATGAAGCATTTCCCTACCTTGACTTAGCATGGAAAAATCATTGGGTTGGAGTGCCAAACAGGAAGATAGAAATACGTTGCATTGTGTCATGCAACGTACACTGGCTTCAATAAAGAAATAGATTAAGATATTTTCTCAATCTCAATTCACAAAAGGTAATCATGGACTTCATGATCAATAAGGAGTACTGAACTTTCAATGCTCCCAGATGACCCAAATCGTTGTCTTTCAAATATCACACAAAATCATATAGAAACCCTACTCACAACTCCACATCGCAATTCCCAATCCCAAGAAATACAAAGGCGGAACAAGAACCATAGGCACCTCAAAGAATCCACGCCGTTGAAACTGTCCATATCCATGAGGCTTTCGTAAAATACATCTTGCCTGTTGAACAGGGAATCGAGCCGCCCGAAACATTCTGACTCAATGTTTCATTCAATATCAAGTATTTATTGATTCTTTGACTCATCGGAGTTCTCATGAACTGATAAAGACATTCATCCGCATTGCCACTATTGTAGATTTTCTTTTTGGATTTTTTTAGATGTTTATTTCACTTACCTAGTGGAGGTACCTACCTACTATCAAGTCTCATCAGCCACACTTCGCTCGTGAACCACGCGAGCCACACCACACCTTTCATCGGAACCTTCCCCTCGCCTCCCCACCAAATACCATCTTAACCTTATCATTATCAGGCTAATGATGCAAATTTGGCCGAGACTAGGTAGAAACAGCGAGCATCTCTTCGAATCGAACAAGAATAGAATTCTACTCGTAAGATAAGGGAAACTCTATATTTTAATTCACTTGAGAAGATTCAAGCTTCAAGGCACTTATATTACTATTGATAGAAGATATAACCTTATATGGGATTCAAATTACGCAGAGATCGGGTGTCTAGGTAAAGTTACAAATTATCTTCGAATACCTACCGACACCAATTCCGGTAATTACCTACATATAAGTCAGCACAAGTTAAATTTCTGGCGTCACTCCACTACAAGCACAACAACAAACAAACAAACATACATACATACATACCCCTCCATACACTAGCAAATCTTATTTCAAAACAACACAGCAGACTTCGCGGTGTAAGCTAATAAAACGATATCCAAACGATCACCATGTCGAACGAAGAAGATAAAACGGCGACCAGTCTATCGCATATTTCCATCAACGGGGAAGACGTCGCAGGACATGATGCGCAAGAATCTACCCCTCCTCGTAGTAGCAGTGGCTGGGATGGAAAGTTACGTGTAGAGAAAGAAAAGGGCAAGAAGTTAGAGCTTGCTAACCCGGAAGCTATATCTGATCCTGAATATTCAGACGAGGAAAATGTTATGCCGGGGGAAGTTATTAATGCAGATGAAGGTATACATCCCTTTATTCGTCCTGGTCAAAGATATCTCATTTATTTTACATACTGATATCACAAAGATCTCCTTGACGATTATCCCCTCGATACCGAAGAAATCGACCTAGTACACGCACGCATTTCCTCCATCCCTTCCCTCCGTCTTTCACGCTTCACCCAAGTCCAACGTCTTTGTCTTCGTCAAAACACGATCAGTACAATCGAAGATCTCTCTTGCCTCGCAGCCACCCTCACCGACCTCGATCTATATGACAACCTAATCGCGCATATCCGGGGACTCGAAGATCTCATCAATCTCACCTCCCTCGACCTCTCCTTCAACAAATTAAAACACATCAAGAAACTAAACCACCTCACTTCTCTCACCGACCTTTATTTCGTACAGAACAAAATAACCACTATCGAGAACCTCGAAGGTCTCTCCAAGCTACGCAACTTAGAACTAGCCGCAAATCGAATTCGGGAAATTCAAGGTTTAGACACTTTAACAGGATTGGAGGAACTATGGCTGGGCAAGAACAAAATCACCGAGATGAAGAATCTAGACGCATTGCAAAACTTGAAGATTCTGAGTATCCAAAGTAATCGCATTCGAGATATCACGGGCTTGGACAAACTTTCGGGTCTGGAAGAATTATATATCTCGCACAATGCTCTTAGTTCACTTTCGGGTCTGGAATCTTGTTCTCAGTTGCGCGTGCTGGATATTTCAAATAACGAAGTATCCTCTCTGAAGGGGCTGGAGGGACTGAAGCAATTAGAAGAGGTATGGGCTAGTTACAATAAAATCGCGGATTTCAACGATGTGGAGGAACACTTGAAGGACAAGGAAAAGTTGAATACAGTTTATTTTGAGGGAAATCCTTTGCAGTTGAAAGGGCCAGCGTTGTATCGAAATAAGGTGCGCTTGACGTTACCACAGGTTATGCAGATTGATGCTAGTAAGTTTTCTTTTCTTGTGTCATTGGTGTGGACTTGTATGCTAACATTACGATAGCTTTTGTTTAGGGTTTCATAGAATACGCTTTGTGCAGGCAGGATGTTGGCGTGTATAAATGGAAGGTGGTCAGAGGGGTATTTGTGCACATACATGGCATAGATATATGTTATAGCATGGCGAAGGAGTTATTGGTGGGAATCAATGGGTTTCATGGATATCACAGCGTGCGTATACGTAGGAGCACATTGCAGAGTGGATATAGAATTTCACGGGTGGAACGATTGCTTTTGTTCAACGCTTCAATTATCTAGATACTCTCGCAAGAAATGAAGCGATCGAAAGCGCAGCAAAATTTGTCATATCAACCTTTATCATCTATTTCATGCCTATGCGAAAATATGTAATGTTCCGAGATACTAAAAGGTCGGCTGTTAGTAAGGGGAACACTAACAACAAGCTTCGATGGCAAAAGTATAAACTTACATCAGTAGGGTTGTTGAATCTCAAATTTCGGTCCAATTTAGTAATGGAATCTAAATCTTCCTTCTCTAGATCGAAATCGGTGACGTGCAAGTTTTGTTCCAGGCGGGATTGGTTGTTGGATTTGGGGATGACGGCGAGACCGCGTTGGGTTGCCCAGCTGTTGGAGGTTAGCATTGCTTGACGAGATAGAAAGGTTCAAAGAAGAGGAAAAGGAGAAGATTTACCGTAATAAAACTTGAGCAGGAGTCTTCTTGGTCTTCTCAGCAATCTTCAAGATATCTGGATGCTCGAAAAGAGGTGGAGTCTTTTGAGCGTGATCCCATCCAAGCTCGATGAATGATTGTGGACCGAATGATGAGCTAGATATATAAATCAGTATACGATTTCCCTTCCACAAGTCTCCAGAAGAAAACTCACTAAGCAGTAACCTTAATTCCCTCACTCTCGGCCAACTTCAACAAAGTGCTCTGCACCAAATATGGATGATGTTCAATCTGCAGCGTCGCCGGTCTAATTCTCGCATATCTCAACAAATCCATCAACAACGCTCCTTGGAAATTGCTCACTCCAATACTCTTCGCCAATCCCTCATCGACCAATTTCTCCATCGCCTGCCAGGTCTCTTGAATACTCGCTTTGGACTGTTGCACATCGCCTTCCTTGTCACTGTACTGCCATCCGGGCGGATAGCGCACAGAGGGATCTACATAGCGCAGCGCAACGGGGAAATGCACAATAAACAGATCGAAATAATCAATACCCCAGTCTGCGAGCTGTTTGCGGGTGATGGGTCCCACGCGGTCGCCGTCGTGGAAGGAATTCCAGAGTTTGGAGACGATGAAGAGGTCTTCGCGTTTGACGATGCCTTCTTTGATGGCGCGGGCGACTCCTTGTCCGGCTTCGACTTCGTTGCCGTAGTCTAGGGTGGGTAGTTAGTTGGTGGTTTGGAGTGGGGTTTGAGGAGAATTGGGGAAAAGGGAATTACCGCATGCTCCGTCGAACAATCTATATCCGGTTTTGATGGCGTTGTAGACTGTGTCGGCGCAAGTGGCATTGTCGACTTTCCATAAGCCGAAACCGACTTGTGGCATTTCATGGCCGGAATTGAGTTTGAGGGTTGGGGAAGCCATGATTGTTGTGAGTTTTTGGGTATGGAGTTTTGAGGAATGGGATGAAAATTGTTTGGATGGGAGAGATGGAGAGAGAGATTGTTTTGTTTATTATGAAGTGTTCTTTCTTTCTTTCTTTCCTCTTGGAGAGCGGGGTTAAGTTACTTATTAGATAAATGATGAGAAGGTGGGATGGTGGGGTGTGGAGGTGGGGCTAATCCTACAAAGTCGAGAGAAGAAACTCGTGGAAAGTTTGGATGGGACGATAATGGGTGAATTTGATTGTTTGGTTGTTTGATGTGAATACAATTATTCTCTTCTTCCAATTTATTCACACTTCTTCCATTTCACAGGTAGGTATGCAATCCATTCCTTCTCCAATGTACCAATCATTCCCTTCCATAGATTCTCATCTCCCCATCAAAGCGTAACCCCGCTCTTAACAATCCCATCACATGCCACTACAAACTACAGGATAAAAATTCATTCTCTTCATTCTCTTCATATATCTCTCACAACAACCTCGTAAACCCTACACTATCCCCTACATCTGTACCTCCGTTTTCCATGCATCAAAGTACCGATAACAATAATACGAATCCTCATTTCCGAAAGGATAGTCCCGCTTGAGGCTGAATGCAAGTAAAACTTTGCTATTTAGCCTAAATGGCAAGTTTCGGCAAATATGGTGATTGTTCCGCTTTGTGGTTGGTGGAGGATTAGATGGATATGTTTGGGGGAAAGGGATTTTAGCATGATTGAATTGGGTTGCTTGGTATATGGAAGATGTTGGTCCGGATTGAATTAGGTATGGTTGTACATGTACATGTACGGAGTAGGTGTGGAACGGAGATTTGGTAATTGCACTTACGGATTGGTGGGCTGATTAGCGAGGTGGATTCAGGGGATGAATATGAAGTGGACAGAGGGTTTCAATGAACGAGTTTCCACTCCTTCGAATGGGATTAGTGTTCCAATGTTCATGGTTACTTCTTTTTGCCTGTTCCTGAGTCGATGTTTTGTATTCTCGAGTTTTTGAATTTATTGTCGAAAATCAGAGGGGATGTTACATTTACATCAGAGTCGTTGCACAAGGTCAAAACTAGGAGTGTCCCGTGCAAAATTCTTCTCTTTTGACAGTTGTCTCTTAAGTCGAGGAAAATGTTCATAGACATTGAATTATCCCGGAGGGACTGGCGGTGGTGGTGATACGTGGAGCTAATGGTACACAAAGCTGGGTATTATTATTCGTGCTTCCGGAAGAAGGTGATTATTAGGTGATGGAAGTTTGATACTGGTCTGCGAAACTCAAGAGGAAGGTCACCAATTACATCCATTGTAGATCAGAAAAGCGGGTTGTTTAGATGCCAAATGTCCTGTGCTTTGATGAGAACCTCTAGTGAGTCCTGCGAACACTATGTGTTGCGGAGATGTCAAGTCTTTCAATGAGTCGAAGATCAAGGTGTGAATTTCATGGTGTTTTAGTAAAACAAGGAAATCGGCATCATGGATTCATCTTCAACTATTTACATAGCTACCCCATCAGTTTACACCAATCCAGTTATTCTGTTTGTAGAATTCATCAACTTCCTCGTCAGTTGGGTGCAACTTATTCATAGGTTTCTGATTTTCAAGCCGTTCGAGTTCGTACCAAGACTTTCCTGCGATGGGAACTTTGACAGTGATCTTATAGAGCCCATCATATCTGAAACCAACCGGCGGCGCGTGAACAGATTTAGAGTTTGCTCCACGAATAACTCGAATACATGTGCCCGCTGTGTTCTTTCCAAAAAAGCTCAAATCCATCAAATCCGTATTGTCGGCGAGATAGAAAATTTTCTTATGCTTTAGTTAGCCATACCCCTAAGATTTCATGAGAATATTAACACACGTCACCATAGTCCTTGTTCTCGTAGCCCTTATTCTTGCCACCACCGGGCCCCAAGACGATAGACACAGCTCCCACACCAGCCTTTCCACCTGTTCCCCTATCTATGAACGCATGTGCCCTATCTCTCTGGTAGCCAAGTGGATAAGGCCACCAATCCCCGATAACATGGCCATTATGACCTTCGGCATACACATCTCTCTCATCGTCCTTCCATTTTATGTATTTTGCTAGCTGCTGGAATTCCATCCCCCGAAACATGTAGCTCTCTACATATTTGAACTTTGCTTCGGCGACATCGGGGTTTGGAGCATTGAGTTTGTCGATAGCCTTAAGGTCGACTTTTGGATTCTCGAGATCAGTAGAATTCGGAAGTACAGACATTATTTTGGAGGAGTTTTGATAGTCGGATATGGTGTAAGGTATTGATGTACGCTGCGTTATCTGTGAAATTACTCTTGCAGTAGCAAAACAGGCTTCCACAAAGTAGAAGGATAATACTAAACTTTAAGTTGCAAAGATATCCAACAGAGTTTTAATATGGATTTGGCGGATCTGGCCAATTTATGCACTTAATTCGATGCTAGTCATTCATTCGCTATTTGTTTCTCTTGGTTTGTATTGTGACAGCTATGTAATTTTCATATCAAACGTTCATTGAGTGACTCACCAACATCATGAGTAGATGGATCATGAGTTTTTAAAGATCACAGTCAGAATCTCTCTTAGAATAGTTCAAAGTTTGATAAGTTCTGCTTGCCATTGAAACTTTGAAGAAAAGACTTCAAGACTCACTCAGCCGAGTCGTTATGGCATCCGATTGGTCAGCTCAGCAGAACTTCTGCTTCGAGTGTCCTATGGACTTAGAAATTTAGAGATATGCAGAATAGATATATGTTTACATGCTGGCTTGAGCTATAACAAGGTAGATGAAGCAAGCACCAAATCCTAAGTCGTGTTTCTCTAACAAAATTTAAGGACTTTCAGATCTCTCTTCAACCCAAGACCCTCAGCTTTTAGACTGCGTCGGCATCTCTTCTAAGACGAGTCTCCCTCTTACGATGAGCTGAACTAATACTATGTCCGTTGCAATCAGTTTCACAGTTCTTGATGCAAGCACAATTAACATATGTTGAATTGACATATGTTGTTAAGCAGATTCATTCTCATCCCCGCTCTCCCCTCCTACAACCACCACCATCTGGGGCAAAGAGAAGTAAACAACCAATATGATGATGATGTGATATCTAACACCAGGATTTCCAATTCTCATCAAGGAGCCCTAAATATACAATCGTGTTATCAAGCCAAATCCTTGGCACTTGGTAGTCCTCCTCCAACAAATCTCAACTAGATGCCCAGAAAGCCAAAATGCACTCTCAAATCAAGTCCATACTTCCATGATACTATACTTTCAATCTATTTACTGCCATGTTTTTCAACAAGCACGATCTCAATAGCATCATCTCATGCTCTTGCATCGAAAAACATTGGTTCATCAGACGACGATGATCAGTAAATCATGATCGCTTCTTTCCAGCTAGGCAATGTTACGAAAACGGCTTTAGGAGAATGAAAATGATTCACTGGAAAAAAATCTACAAAAGACAAGAATCCCTCTTTGCCGCAAAGTGACAGACACACATTCAAATCGAATCATGACTCCATCATTCAAAAACAAATCTCAAAAACATACCGACCCGCATGGGACTCGAACCCACAGCCTTTGCTACCGGAAAGCAATGCGCTACCATTGCGCCAGCGGGCCATTTATAATTATTATGAAAGGTGGTATCCTTTGAATATATCAAGATACCTTGCCTCGGTACTGTTTTGTGAAATAAGACAAGCCACTGATTCAGAAGGAACCAATCTGATCCTAAATCTCGTCATAAAAGTGGCTTGGGCAAGGAATGTAAATCGTATGGATACAAGAAAGGGAGATGAGACTTTCGCTTTCCAATCAGCCAATGCTGTACTAATTCTCATCTCAAGTTCAAAAACAAAAACATGCGAATGTCCGGTAAACTTCAATTCAGAATTTAATTTTGTAACTTTTGGGGTCGGTTCATGTTCTTGTTAACTTCATCAAGAGAGTTGGGATTTTTTTCAAGACTCTTGCGAATACGAATATCTTCTCACTCCGCTCATCGGTTCGCGACGTAATCAAATCACTAACTTCAATGTCTTGGAGTATCTCATCCGGAGTGGTTGCACTAGACGTGATATTTATCTGTATATCTCAGAAGATTGAAGTGTCAAAGCCCGCCTCAAAGGTCGTCAGATGAGAGTGAAGGAAGATGCGAAGAGAGCGGAAAACATCGACGCTCGCGAATACTACTGGTAGCTAAGCAAAATCATCCAATCTTACCCTTGAATATTTATGTTCAAATCGTGGCCGAAAGTGTTTGGTCGACTAGGATTACAAGACTGACACTTATTCACACACGCCCGAGAAAGATCATTTATCCTTATATCATTCATATTAAAATTCTGTATGCCAGATTATGTACTTTAAACCCATTCCGTCTAACCAATTAAGCTTGTACCTCCTATTCCTTCCTTCATAAGATGAGTATCATACCAATCATCAACCATAGAATGCCCCCAAATCAAACAAACAATAAAGAGCGTCCTGGGTATCCCATTCCAAATTTCCCAACATTAAATTAATTTCGCATATCCTCATCCCCTACCAACTAAATGTCATCATTTCCGGATTCAGCGCCACCGGCAGAAGTAGATGACTTGCAACCATGACCCCCAGAGGAAAGATTGCAATAAAATCATCGATGTTGTAACTCCAGGGTAAGAAGGGAGCTTCTGCCATAATAACCATCAATACGATACCGAATATGCACATTAAGTATGTGTACTTGAAGGTCTTGAGAATCTTGGGGACTTCGAGGAAGAAATTGGAAAATTCAACTTCCTTTGAAGTGGCACCCCATGTCATGTTGATCTCAAACATGTGGCAGAGAAGCGCTTGGGACATGTGAAGAGAGACGCCACCGAAGAATATCATGAACATGAAACACCATTTTAAGTTTTCAAGGACTGGAAAGGAAGACGTTAGTTTGAGGGCCTTCCATGAGTGTAGAGAGATAGATGGAGAAGAGAGTGACGATGAGATTAGGAAGACTTACTAGCAGGAAGGAAGGATTTTTCACCAGAACGATGACGTTGTACGGCAAGACCGACATTACCCGCTCCAGTAAACACCACAGTAATTGCGAGCCAATTTTGCCATGAATCAACATAAGCACGATCGAGATATCCATTCCAAAGACCAACGAATACGTAGTTTGCAAGACAAATTAACCATGCACTACCCAATGCATAGTATGTGCCGATGTACGCAACGATTTGAACTTTCGAGCCAATGTCGATACTGGAACAGATGAATTTACGGAAGAGAGGTGTGAATGGAGACTTCCACAACCATGTTCTAATAGGGTTGAACATAAGCTCGTTACATCCATAAGCTATCGAAAGGTCAGCAAGATTCAAAAGCGCAAGGAATGATTGAGCTTACCATATTTTTGCCAGCGGGTCAATTCATCGTAAACAGTGAGAGATACACCTTCTTTGAATCCATCACCAGCCCAGGCAGCCATGCGGATGGTATAGTGCTTAAGTTGTAATCGTAGAGCCATGTCAAAGTCCTCAGAGACACAGGACTCAGACCAGAATCGTTCATGACCTTCTTCATCCTCGAAAGCGATCTCTTGGATAGCAGACCATCGAAGGATTGCATTGTGACCTACAAACGCTGCCACACCACCATTGGCAACACCGTAACGAATAGCAGAGTAGATGAGATTTGTGAAGAAAGTAATGCCATTTTCGAAAAAGTTGTGCGATACTTGCATGACAGCAGAAGAGAATTGAATGATGCCGACATCTGGAGATTGTTCCATTTCGCTAGCAGCATCAAGCAAGCAATCTTCTGGAACCTGAGTATCGGAGTCAATGAGCAGAATGTAGTCACCAATTCTAATGTTGCCTTCAGCCCATGCTTCGGGGTTCTCATCAAGAACGTCCGACATACATGATTCAAAAGCTGCAACTTCATCAACCTGAGTCCAGGTAGCTGGTCTTTCGATGTCTTGAAGTTTCTCTTCAATGGAATTGGATAAGGCAAGTCCGTAGTTCATGTTTGAGGCTTTCTTGAATTTTCCTTTACGTTCGTATCCATTTTGACCATTGGGAGGACGGGCTGTCCAGCCAATACCATGATCAGCGTAAAAGTCAATTCTTTGTTGTCGAGCAGCTTCATCGAGAAGTTGAAGACCGTCATCGTTGATAAATATATTTGCGGAGCCTCCTTGCAATTCGTAGGTAGAGATTGCTTTTTTGATTGAGGAGACTGTTGGAGCAATGACGGCAGCTAAGCCTTCTTTATACACAGGACATTGAATGGTGACATGTGGTAGTGTCGTGGTAAGAAGACGAGGAGGTGCTTTCGCAGAGAAGAACTTGGTGTTCCTATTCAGTTGCTGAATTGGACCGAAGCACTGCATGAGAACTCCGATTACAACGTTTGTGAAGAACTATCTAACGTTAGCAACCATAAAGACGAAATCTGATATTGTGGAGAACATACCAAGGAAAAGAAGCAGTAAATTGGAGTGACAATCAGATAGGCAAGAGATATCCAATGCTTCAATACTACGACTTCGATTGCCAGCTGAGCGTATCCTAAACCCATAATACAAACCAGAAGACAAATTGAACAAGAGACCATGAATGAATTGAGGTACATGGTCGGTCTCTCTTCAACGATAGACTGCCCTGACTCTTCGTCAAGCTCGCGGACTTGAGTTCGAGGTTGTGATTCACTCTTTTCGTGTTCAGTTGCGTTCCAGATAGTCTGTAGTAGACCGTCCTCGATTGCTTTGGCTCTGTCAAATAGTAGTGTTGGGTCATCTTCCCAAACAACGAGAAGAGCTTCTCTAGCAATGAAAGCAGCATAGTGAGCTCTGCGAGCACGGGGAAGATCTTCAAGTGTTGGTAGAATCTGGACTCGAAGGCCATTGGTAAGAGGTACATCAAGGGCGTCGGGCGACCTTGTCAGAAATGGTTGAACGACAGTGGAGTTGATGGTCATAGCAGCCTATACCCCACATTAGTATCATGTTTCCAGGCTAGTATTATGCTTAAAGAGTGAAACTTACAGAAACGTTCATGATCTTCATCGCCCTACCAAAGGTGGAGCTAGCTAGTGCTGGAGGACGACAAAGATATTCTGTCCTATCTTTGCGTACCATGACACCCTCATGCTGACCTGAGTTATCCATAATCCACATCAGACCTCTTTGTTTCTGCCATAGATAATTGAGAATAACTTGATGTCTGATGTCGTCTAAACGATTGTTGCTATACAAGCTTTGCCTGCTCGATGCAGTAGGTGATGGGTCTGAGTAGCCATGACGAGGAGAATCATTTTCAACGACAGAATTTGGGGCAGCTGGAGCTTTCTCTTTGCTTGATTCAGACTTCTCAGGCTTTGAGATCTTGAAATAGCTAAGAACACCCATGATTAAGAGAGCTTTAAAGAAGGTGGCTCAAGTAACGAAAGTGGTTTGCACGACGATGAGAAAAGAGAAACGGATAGACACATGGACGAAGACACAAACACATAATATAGATGCCCACAAGAAGGCGACACCGACAGCCTACCATTTTTGCATGCCAGCTCAAGATAGATACAGAGCCACCCTTCAGCCAGACGGGAAGATTTCATGGGTTTGATCGGAGCATCACCTACATGATAGCGTCTAGAACTGAGCGTAAATTGTGAAAAGCATGAACGTGGGTTTCGACCCTAGTCCAATCGATATCCCCCGAAAGGAACTTTGGTACTTTTGACGGCTTTCCGCCGATCAGCCTGAATCCTAGAAGATTTCCCTCAAAGTTTCCACTTTAATTCCATTGAACACAGCCAAACTCTGAGAAGTATGCATAAACGTCGGACCGGCCAGTGTCCGAAAGCATGTTGTATTTCGAGCAGAGCTTCGTCAATTACTTGAAGCCATCCTTGGGAAGATCTATCGCTTGATAATGATCTAGGTCGTATAAGACAAGGAATATCTGCAGCTCAGACTGTCGACAGGGAGAAGAACACTCGCACAATCTGGTCCATAGACATCGCTTCTGTTGGGACTCGAGCGAAACTAGCTGAGTTGAAGTGCTGTTGGCCTATAGTGCCGTTGTACATATGGTGAGGGGATTTTTGCCTGCATGGAAATATTGAACTTCATAATTGGACAACAAGGGTAAACAAAATCATCCAGGGTTGCTTATCAGTATACGCTCGTATCAACAACCATGGACTTCTAATCTCTCGCGATGCATATTGCAACAACTGAATGCGGTTTTTGACAGGCCAATGGTATTTCAATAGTTAGTAGGGTCGCAGACGCGTCTGGCTAATATGGTTTGTCGTTTATTTCTGACTTTGAGGCTATCGATCTTCAATGGTACTATCTTCCAAAATCAGCGGTTCATCCGTCTGACAGTCGGAGAGTTATCGATTTAGGAAATGATACGCTCGAAATGGTCCAATCTCATGCCAAATAAGGAAGCTTATCGCCTAGCATCACTAAAGTGGAAATCGGATTGAAAAAAATGGTAGATCCAACGTGGCAGCCTTATCTTGCCCTGTCCTGCTCGCTTGTATCCGTCTAAAGAAATGGATTCCAAATCCACCTAGAAGGCTGAATCTGGGTACAAGGCCGTTCCAAAGCTCAGCTGGAGATGAAAAGATTCTTCTACGCTGTGTCTAGGTAACCACTTCGAGCGATATTTTGCGAAAATTGGACGAACACGATTTGGTGTGCCAGTTATTAAGAGGAGAACCTGCAGTTGTCTACCCAACCTCTTGCACCAATCAGTTCGTAATGATCCACATATGACCCACAGAACGCGGGATGCGTGGTGATGTTCTTCAAGGGCTTAAAACTCTGATCCATACAGAACCCTGTCGGACCTGATTGTCGTATCGAAATCCAAGATACGCATTCTCATATCTCAACCGTCGTAAAAAGAAAATCCGAGTTCAGGATTTCAAATGGCGATTTTTTCGAGGTGCACAATACAAGCATGTTGTTATAGTACATATGCGTGAACGATAAGTAAGTAATGCTGCCTAGGATGCTTTTTGTTGCCTCGAAGATAAACATGTGATTGATGTGTCAATGAGATCCCAACAAATTCTAAACGAAGCACATTGCATGAATGAACATATGAAAACGACTTTGATGCGACCGTACTACAATGATCAATCTACGATGATATGATAAGGACATACAACGTTATTCTGTTGTGTACCATCGGCCATATAAGTTGTGGTCCCTGAGTGATGTAGTATAGATGTAAGCTTTCAAAAGCGGAATATTGTTGGTACCTAGTTAGAAATACTGGCAGTGGAAGTGCTCGGCAGATCGAGGTGCTGTATTGGGACAGGAACTTCAGACGAAGAGCGGTCCGGAAAGTGTTCTGTTGTGTTACTGTCAGGTAATCTCTAATGCCGTCTTCCCTAGCCGAGCTGATGTGACGGTTTCCGGGATCTCTCGCCTCCTTTCAGCCGTAGTACATGAAGATGTCGCCATTAATATCAAGAATGCAATATCACTTATAGTGCTATACGTTCGATGAATAGTTCAATCTCGCGAAACTTGGTTTTCCTGCCCCCAATTGATTTATATTGAATGCAACCAAAGCCAGCAATGAGATATTGTTGGCAAGGAATCTCCCGTCCGTGTGCGTGTGTTTTATTCCGATGCAGGCTAACAGTGGATCTTGTTGCTTAGCATTTGCAGGTGAACATGCATTGGAAATCAAGGTCATATTCAAAATCCATATCTCGAAAATTATAGTATGTTGCTTTGTTTGTCCCGTCTAATAATAACTAGAAATCCATTAAACTCGTCATATCCAAAGAAATCCTCCAGGGTCCGTTTCCTATCCTAATTACGCCGATCATTACAGTAACTCGTTCCTGTCCAGTCTTTGTCAAGCTAAAGCTAATCACACTGTTGCCACATGTTCACTTGGTCCACAATCATTTGTCCACTCTTCTCCCATGTAGGAAGCCACTCGTTTCGAGCTTTCCAGAAATCGAGCTTTGCAGATGCGCTTCCATCAACCCATGGCTTTCCATCTGCTCCATCCAGGAACCAGCCATTCTCCCCTCCAACAGCAACGTTTAAGATAAGATAAAATTCTTGATCGAACGGGGTATTTTTTCGGCCCGTTTGTGACCATGGATCCACGATCGCTGTTCCATTGGAATCGCTCAAGGGGAAATTTCCCTGTGGCCACAATGGACTGGAAAACGGCCAATACATGACTTGGCGCAGCGTGTTATCAACATACGCAAAGATAAACTTCTCGGTCCACTCCAAGCCGTAAATGTGGAAATCATCACCGAACTGGGAATGTAAAGCAGCTCTCACGTTGGTGGTCTTTTTGTATGCATCGCTGGCCAAATCTGGACCCCAATGCAAAGAACTGAATACGAAATTGTTGCCTCCAAGACTGTAGGTGTAGTTGTTGCCACGCGATTCCATGATATCGATCTCACCACTCTGTGGCCAGGATCCATAGGTATCCTCAACTGGCAGCATCCAAATGGCTGGCCAGAGCCAATCTCCTTTCGGTAGCTTAGCCTTGACCTCAACCTTTCCGTACTTAATGGTGGCACCAAGCTTGGTATTGATGCGAGCGGACTTGGCTGGTTGCACGATAGTCCCGTTGGTTGTGTTTGTAGAAGTGACACAATTAACAAGTATATTGGAAGTGGTGGTGCAAGTTCCATCGGCGGTGAGATTGATGATATTGTTGGTGGTGATCAACGATGCATCTTGAATTGTAGGCTTAATGTAAAGCTGCCCATCTTGAATGAACAAATTCTCGGCATCTGTTGTGGTTTGCTCAAATTGGCCATTTCTGTTTTGATTGTCAGAGTCCGAATGTATGTACGTAAGGGAGGAAACTGACCCATAACCTCCTACTTGAACTTCTGTTGTCCAAATATTTGGATCTAAAGCACCAGAGGAAAAGTCTTCCAAAAGGACTGGGCAGTACTTGTGGTGTGTGATTTCAGATAGTTTCAAGTAAATAATGAGACCAGTTAGACCCAATCCAAGAAGCAAGCCGCAAAGAGGAAAAACCCACAATAGGGCCTCCTTCTTTGCCTTCTTGTTTACCGGAAGAGGTATAGCATCTGCTTTGCGAACGCGACGAGATCGAAAGTATCCTGTTCCAGGGACTTCGGCATACTGAAATCCAGATCGAGCCCCAATTGTCGAGGCAGGTCTTGAATATGGAGGTGTCGCGAATGGATTGGAAGTACCAACAGGAGTCTGCGCACGACTGTTTTCCTCAGATTGAGGGGTACTCTTTGGAGTGTTGACGTGAGATATAACTTTCTGCATTTTTGCTGTAGGAAGAAACGAGTGATGCTAAAGTAAAAAGTTGCACTATCAAAACTCAGACAAAGCTCGAGGAGATTTCACATTATAGCCCAATGCTTCACGCGATCACCACAACCTGTTTCCTGAAAAAATAGAGTATCCTGCAAGCTTTGGCAGGACTCTTATCGGATGTGCGATGGTCGAGAGAGTGTATTGAGGACCCGCAGTATACATGGGGCCCCTGTGGCGCTAGTAATTCGTCAAATCGGAGGTTCCTTGATCTAAATGTCTAGCCCTGGCAACACAACACGACTATTGACAGAGTAGACTAGCAAGAATTCAATATTGTTCAGCCTTAACTATCGCCCACACCTTAAGGTGCTGAACTGTTCTGGCCATGGCTCTTACAGCTATTACCCATGAATGTTACATTCATTGAAAAGCACGGCAATGAAATACTTGGCTACTCAACGTAGACCCCACTTTGCATTTTTGAAGTAGGATCGAAGTATGAGAAAGGGGGTTTAATGAGAATCCCTTCATTGAGTGTTTATCTGCCCACTTTGTTAAAAATGTTAAATGAAAATACTTAGACACACGATGAAGAAAAAATTGACCTCGGATTTTAACGTCGCACATTGGTAGGATGGACGTGCGCCCACGACCCATTTCAACACAACATGCTATGAGTGTTTATTAGTGTACATCCATAGCCACCACGTGTGTTGTCTTCATTGTGTCACTCACTTCTTTTCAGGTCTTCCTAAATTATGTGGCGTCAAAGGTGTTGTTATCTCACCCGAGAAAGTGAGATTATTGATCAAGTTGTGACCTGTCTTAGGACCCATCCTCTCTTGACCTGTGGGTATAGGATCAAATTTTGCCCAGCTTATCCCCGGACATCTGTTTTAGGGAGACTTAGGTTCTATGAGGCGTAGCGATGACCCTTGATTGAGAGCAAAGTTGGGGTAAAATGATGAGAATAGCATCGCCTTTTGGATTTCTGAGTGGCCAGATACTGTTGTGGAAATGGTAAGGAGGCCGAAGGCGTTCAGCTGGAATATGGGCTTTGAAAGAGAAGGTAATCGTGTACCTCTAAAAAAAAAGTATAAAGAATCCCAAATCTACAGATATATCCAGAAAGAATCAGATCAGCACAAACCTTCAGTCTTCCTTTTCTAGATAACACCTTTCCTGCAATCCTCGTTCAGAACAAAACCAAACACCGCAAACATGAAATCAACAATTGCTCTCTCGACTCTTCTTGCGGTAGTCACAGCGACTCCCTTCCTCAAAGCTCGAACTCTCGATATCTCAGCGTATAAAGCTGTGCCAACCGCTCCTGTTAGAGGAGCCCCTGCCGGCAACACGGCGACAGCGAGTATTACATACAACCCCTCATCTGTAGCAGGCGCCGCTATTGCAGCCGCAACTTCCTCTGTCGCTATTGTGAATCGTAGACACAAGCGTAGCTCCTGCTCGGGTACTTGTGCTGTCTTGGCTGCGGGGAATGGGCCTAGTGTTAACAGCCCGGATACTGCGGTAGCCTTTCAGGCGGATCAGAATTTCGCTGATGCAGCACTAAATGCTGTGACTCCCCCAAACTACGTTCTGGTTGATGGGTTCCAAAATGTTGATGCAGCTGCTCAATCTGCTACGTATCTAACATACATCTCCGACTCTGTCACTTCTTACGATCCTGCAATTTGTGCCAACGCATGCAACAATATCCAGGGCTGCACGTCTTTCAACATCTGTAAGTCTGCCCTTCCAACGTTCTGCACCAACACTAACGAATCTAGTCTTGAGAGAGATCCAACTGTTGTTCCAGATACAGAAGACTGTCCAAACCCTCCCTCCCAAACCCTTATAAAATGCTC